GAAGACGACAGAGGAGCAAATTTGGGGTATTGAGGGGTAGACCAAGAGTTCCACTTTGGAAATCTTCAATTTGGGATACTTATAAAAAAACAAACAAACAGATAAATCTTGGAGAAGGTGCAGCCAGAGTGTTCCTTGGAGGCAAAGACGATAAAACTTCATCTCACATATTTTGAGCATGTTGTTAGGAGAAGTTATTCCTTGGAGAGAGATCTCATGCTTGGAAAAGTGGAGGGATGGCAAAGGGGAGAAAGACCCTCAACCAGATGGATTGACACAACAGTTGCAGCAGTGGGCTCAAGTGTGTCAGAGATGATGGGATGGCACAGGATAGGACAGGGTTTAAATCTGTTGTTCTTAGGGTTGCTATGGGTTTTATTCAACTCAGTGGCACATAAAAACAACATTTGTAGTAGCCTAAGCATGCATCAGAGAACTGGACAATAACTAAGGATGATAGAAGAATTGATGCCTTTGAGTTGTGGTGCTGGAGAAGTGTTGAACATACGATGGACTTCCAGAAGAACAAACATGTCTGTCATGGAGAGGGTAAAACCAAGCTTCTCCCTGGAGGCAAGTATTTTGAAGCTCAGTCTCACATACTTCGGGCATGTGGCCAGGAGGGACCAGTCCTTGGAGAATGACATTATACTGGGAAGGGTGGAGGAAGACCCAAGGAGAGAAAGACTCAGGATGAGATGGATTGACTCAGTGACTGAAGAAATGGGATTAGGTCTGTCAGAGATGGTGATATTGGCTCAGCATAGGGCAGGGTTCAGAGCTCATGTACTTAATGTCACTATGAGTAACAGGCAACACAATGGCACATAACAACAGCAACTAGCATATATTAGAACTGATTAAGGAAAAAGGTATGGCCCAAGATAGCCATGTGACACAACAAACTATCTATTGGGGCTGATGCATTTGTATGCAAACATTCACAGCAGGAAACGCTCCAAATAATACAGGAAGCCACTAGAAGGGGGAGTGGAGTGGGGCTTAGTAATATCCCTCAGCAGCAAGGCAGGGTTTCTAGGGCAAAGAGCTCTGATGACAGCTGTAGTCTGGGGTCTTTATAACATCAGGAAGTCTAATGCACTACTGTGCACTGTTTCATTCTGTGTGCACAAGGTCAGTATGACCCACAACTGACTCAGTGGGACCTAACAACAGTAAAAAATGGCTAGTATATACAAGATGTTGTTTCATGAGGTATGCAAAGCAAGTGTCTCTAAGCGGTGCAAAATCTGCTTACATAAGGCATTTTTAAAACAAATGTATTTGTAAATGTTTTAGTTTGGCAACAATGAAGTTTGGGCGATGGCAGACTTCAGTCTATCATAAGGAATACACAGATCCTATCTTTGGCTTGTTTATATAACCTTGTTAAACACTGAAGAAGAGATGTCAAGAAGGTAACTGGGCATGCAAGTAACAAAAGGGCTAAGACTTAAGAGAGTTCAAGAAGGCAATGCCTTTGAATGGCACCAGTCTGGGTAGTACATTAGCAAGTGTGCACCTGTCTGGAAATGAGAAGCCTTTACTTCTTTCTAGGGAGTCTTGTGGAGCAGTCCATAGGAAAGTTCACCTCTTCTGATGATTCAAATCTACCAGTATCTCTAAGGGAGCTGATAGTTGTTGGTAAGTGCTATCAAGTCAAGTACAACTCATAGCGATCCTATGCAAAACAGATCTGAAACCTGTTCTATATTGTGCCATGCTCATCATTTCTGACACACTTGAGCTCATTCATCAACATGTCAGTTAATCTTGTTGAAGATCTCCCCCTCCCTCTCTTACCCTACCTTGATGTTCTTTTCCAAAGAATACCCTGTCCTAGCAACATGCCCAAAGAATATGAGATGAAGCTTCATCACCCTTGCCTCCAAGGAGCACTCTGGCTGCACTTTTTCCAAGACATGTCTGCTGTTTTGGCAGTCCATGGGATATTCAATACTCTTCTCCAACACCAACTCAAAGGTATCAATTCTTCTGTCATCCTCATTCATTGTCCAGCTTTTGCATACAAAGCAAGTGATTGAAAAGACCATGTCCTGGATCAGTTGCACCTTAAGCTTTGAACTGACATCATTGCTCCTTGGTAATTTGAAGAGGTCTCTGACAGCAGACTTTCCCAATGCAATGTATCTCCTGATTTCCTGACTGCTGGTACCAACAGTGTTTGTTGTGGATTAAATCATTGACAATTTCAATCTTTTCACCATCTACTGTGATGTTGCTTATCAGTCCCATGAAGAGAATTTTTGTCTTCTTAATGTTGAGATGCAATCCATATTGAAGGCTGCAGTCTTTGATTTTTATGTTGTTGATGATTCTTCCTTCTATCCTGATGCTGAAATTTCATAGAATCCAGCTTCTCGAATTATTCCTTCGGAATACATATTGGATAAAACCTTGAGCGAAAGGATACAACCTTCCTGATTTTAAATCATGCAATGTTCCCTTGCTGCATTCAGACAATAGCTTTTTTGTCTATGTATAGGTTTTGTATGAGCATGATTAAGTGTTCTAAGATTCTCATTAATCTCAATGTTAGATATAATTTGTTATGATCTATAGTCAAATGCTTTTGCATAGTCAATAAAATACAAATAGATATTCTTCTGATTGTTCTTATTAAGTGCTGTCAAGTCACCTACGACTAATAGCAACCTTATCACAATAGCTCTGAACCCTGTCCTATCCTGATCCAATCTCCCTGTCTGACCAACCTGCCACCATAACCCCAGGTACTGTGTTACTCCAACTCATTCGGGGTCTTCCTCTCCTGCATTGTCCCTCCACCCTTCCAAGTATAATGTCTTCTCTAAAGGCTTTTCTCTCCTGGCAACATGCCCAAAGTATGTGAGACAGAGTTTCAAAATCCTTGCTTCCAGGGGGAAGCTTGGTTTTACCCTCTCCAGGACAGATTTGTTTGATCTCTTGACAGTCCGTAGTATGTTCAATACTCTTCTCCAACATCACAACTCAAAAGCATCAATTTTTCTTCTGTAAACCTTAGCCATTGTCCAGCTTTCAGATGTGTAGCAAGTAACTGGGAAGACCATAGCCTGCATCAGGTACACCTTAGTCTATAGACTGACATCATTGCTCTTCAGCACTCTGGAGAGGCCTAATCCAATTCATCTTTTGATTTTCTGACTGCTGGTGTCAAGAGTGTTGATGGTGGAACCGAGCAAACTGAAATTGTTAACAATCTCTTCTCCATCTATCATGATACTTCCATTTGGCCCAGTGGTAAGAATCTTTGTTTTCTTGATGTTGAGCTTCAATCCATGTTGGAGACTACAATCTTAGACGTTCTTCAGCAAATGCTTCAGATCCTCCTCAGTTTCAGCAAGAAAGATTATGTCATCTGCATAGCACAGGTTGTTGGTGAGTCTTTCTCTGATCTTGATACCACATTCCTCATCAAGTCCAGCCTCCTGAATGATATGTTCTGTGTATAGATTGAAAAGATATGGAGACAGGATGCATCCCTGGTGGATTTATTTCCTGATAGTCTCTGCTTTTAGCCAGAATACACCTGATATCAGCCATGATATCCCTTGTGCTGTGGCTTCTTCTAAATCTTGCTTGAGCTTCTTGAAGTTCTCTGTAAATATACTATTCTAGCCATTTAAAAAAATATATTCTTCAGCAATATTTTGCTTGTATGTAATATTCATGATATTGTTCAATAATTTCCACCTCCATTGAATTGCTGTTCTTGGGAATGGGAACAAATATGGATCTCTTCCAATCAGTTGGTCAAGCAAGTGCTGTCCAAATTTCCCAGCATAGATTAGTGAGCATGTCTAGGGTTGCATCTGTTACTTGAAATATACCAACTGGTATTCCAGCAATTCCTGGTGCCTTATTTTTCACGAATGCCTTCAGTGCAGCTTCAGCTTCTTCCTTCATTACCACTTACTCTTGTTCATATGGTATTTCCTAAAATCTTTCCGTGTCAACCAGTTCTTTTTAGTTGAGTGCTTCTGTGTATTCCTTTCATTTTCTTTTTTTATTATTATTAAATTTTATTCGTTTAAATGAACATTTACAGAGATTTTGGGTTTTCATTCATTCATTGTTGCACTGTTTTCTCCACCCTCCTCCCCAGTTCGTTCTTCTTCCCTCACCCCCCCTGCCCCCCGAATGTCTGTTTTAATCCTTTCATTTTCTTTTGATACTTCCTGGATCACTCAAGATTTTGCACATAGCATCTCCCATTGTTTCAACTCAAGGTTTGAATTTGTTTGAATCTGAGGGGGAAAGATGGGCAATCTCCTCCTGTGTGATTTATAGCCTATCAAAAAGAAAAAAGCTGGAGCGTCAGCTGTGAGTTGGCTCCAATCTGACAGCAAAATGTAGTCTTTGGAGTGTTGGTTTGGTTTGGATTTTTTAGTACCATCTTTTAGGTGCTCATTGATTATGCAATGCTCTGTGGAGTTGCTCCCATCTGTGAAACAAATTCCACGTCCTCCATTTGTGTTAGTGTCTTTCCTTCAATTACATGACCATCTCTAGGCGGTATATAAGAACTTAAAGTCTTTCCTTTTTGCACCTTCTTACATTTCATACTCATTATTCCTTCTGTGGGAAGCTCTTGTGGCCCAGTGGTAAGAAACTGCTTTGCCAATCCAAGGAACATGGTTCAAATCCACCAGCTGCTCTGAGGGAGAAAGACAGGCAAACTCCTCCCATTCAATTTACTGCCTCTGAAAACTTACTGGAGGATCATCTATGAGTCAGTTCTGACTCAATGAACACAACGATGATTCCTTGTTCACATGATTTTTTTTACTAAAGAAATTCTTTTAAATAAACTAATTATGCATAATTTTTCCTTGGGGAAAAAGAACCAAAACATTTTCCCCTTTCTACCTATCAGCAGCATTTGTTTTTCAAATCATCTTTATATTTACTGGACGCAGAATTGAGTTGGTGTGTTTTTATTTAATTTCTATTCTTGGTTTGGTTCTCTTCCAGGTCAGTGAATAATTTCCTGATGACTGGTCCGAAGGTAAGAGGTGCGGGGAATCTTTGATTCCTTTGGATTTCACTAATTTTAGCTAGTTGACGGTGGCCTATGCATTTCTTTCCGTTTATTCACCCTTTCTTATGCTGTATATACTACAGGTAGGGGGAAACAACAACAAAAACCCAGGGGCAAAACAAAGGGTTAGAGACACACTCAAAAATGCCTAGTAAGATAAGGTCAAGGGCAAGACAAGAACTACTGAGTACTGAAACAGAATTTATGGCTGGAATTTGCAAAGGCAGAAAAGTCAAGAGCCTTGCTACAAACCAAATGTTCTTAGTACAGTGGTGAGATGTAGCAGTTTCCAACTTTTAAAATGCTGGAATTGTCTTATATGATCTCTAAGGTCCTTTTTTCCCCCCAAAATACAATTTTCAAAGATAGTGATAGCAAGATAACTGCTGAAATCCCATCAGATATGTGAGTTGGGCTCATTTGGGAGAGGTGATAAACTGCTGTAAAGACATGGGTCGTAGAGTTTCCTACACCTGCATTTCATTCCATGTTCACGCCATTTGCTAGCTGTGGGAGCTTTGGCAAATTGCTTCACCTTATGTTTGACTCCTGATAAAATAGTATCTATTTCCCAGAGTTGTGTGTGTTACATGAGAAAGCACATTTTAAATGCTTCCTCTGTGATTACTTTGGGTGAGTGGACAGGAAGAAAGCTGTTTGACTGACTACTTTAGAGCAAATGCCTGAAAGCTCAGTTCCTGCAAGTCTGAATTCTGGGCCATGGTCTGCTGCAGGCTTACTTGATCTACTCCAGCAGTGTGGCAGCTGGTGCTCAGAGTGGGATTGAAGAATGCAAATACCAGTTTGCCTGGGATCGCTGGAACTGCCCAGAGAGAGCCCTGCAGCTGTCCAGCCACGGTGGACTTCGCAGTGGTAAGGAAAGCCTCGGCCTTGGCTCCCTGGACCCCCTGGCCACAGGTTAGAGTCCCACTCTCCAGGGACGGCTGCCTCTTTCCTCTATACCTGTATTTTTCTCCTACTCTTCTTTCAGGTCTTCTTTCTCTTTGGTATCTTCCTTTTGCCTATTTTTTTTTCTTTGCTCCCCACCACCCCCTCTGCTCAGTGAATATACTTTGCCCCATCCCTAATCTGATACCACCCCTGGCCTCTCTGTGGCTAAAAAAATGTAGGCAGGGATCATAAATCCTTGTGGTCTTGGGCCTCTTCCCCCATATTTAGCAGGCTCAGCAGAGAGATGCTTGTACGTGAGAACTGACTTAGCGACCAGATTCTCAGGAAATCGATAAGGCATGACCCCAGAATAAATAAAAAGGCTCATCCTCTTGTCAGGACTAAGTTAGGTCTTCTTTTTAGGCTCCATGTTCCAGGAAGGAGTAAAGAATACGTTCTTTACAATCCAGCCCTCTCCTTCCCCACGTCTTCCTCAGGTTCTTTTTCACCTAAATCTTTCACAGCCCCACATGTCAACAAGAATCTAGCCACCTACTTATAAAATATATGACTTGAAAGAGCGTAGGGTTGAGGCCAGGGCTGGAGAGAAACCTAAAGGTGAGGTATGTCATAAAGATGGGGACACAGATTGGAACTGAGAAGGATCAAAGGATGACTTTAGAGGAAGGTAACATGACTGGCATTCTTTTCTTGTGGGCTTTAACCCTCTAATACCCCTAATTTTTGGTTCCTGCCAGCTAATCGGGAGACGGCATTTGTGCACGCCATCAGCTCTGCTGGTGTCATGTACACCCTGACCAGAAACTGCAGTCTTGGGGATTTTGACAACTGCGGTTGTGATGACTCCCGCAATGGACAACTAGGTGAGTAGTTATGTTGGGATGGGTGGGACAGGCCAGCTCTCACTCAAGAGCACGGCTAACTATGTGGGTAGGTTTGTGGGGTGAAGAATAAAAAAGTCATCTCAGGAAAATCATGCTGAGGAAGAGGGGGACCAGTTTGAAACCAAACCCTACAGAGAAAACCAGGCTAAGCAAAGCTAGGGAACTGCGTTCTCTCATTGAGTGGTTTCCTTAATTTAACAAAATGACAATAAAGGAGCAACACTCCCTGCTATCTCCATCCGCTCTGCCCTTGCAACCACTGGGAGATTTCCTGCCTTCGGAGCCTCCCTCGCTTCTTTCCAAGCCCCGCCCCCCTGCCGGCTCTAGCTCACTGGGTTGGTGGACTCCACTTCCGGCCTTGAGGTTCCATATTATTTCAGTTGTCATCTTTTCTCCCCATTCCATGGTGGCACCTCACTCAACTTGTCCATTTCCTCTCGTCTGGAACTCAGATGCCATTCAGGCACGTGCACAGGGGGTAGACACTAACCTGAGGGGCCCCAAGGTCATGGTATCCACTTACCTACTATTTACATCAGGGAGCTATGAACAGGGGATTGGCAAAGCTAAGACTGGGAAAGAGAGCGTAAAGGGGGGGGGGAGGGAAGAGCAGCTCTTCTAGGCTCAAACTAATCCAAACACAGGGCATTCATCCAACTTCAATCCACCCCAGCCTGGCTCCCCCAAACCCAATTAGAAATAGCAGCCCCGCAGGCTCTGCGCCTGCCTGTTCAGTGGCCTTTGCTCTCCTGCACTTTCCAGGGGGCCAAGGCTGGCTGTGGGGAGGCTGCAGTGACAACGTAGGCTTCGGTGAGGCAATTTCCAAGCAGTTTGTTGATGCCCTGGAGACAGGACAGGATGCCCGGGCAGCCATGAACCTGCACAACAACGAAGCCGGCCGCAAGGTGAGCCCAGCATCCCCTGGGATTAGGTAGCACGCTCCACGCACTAAAACTTCAGCTTGTTTAACATACTGGCAAGCCGAGGTGCCAAGCGACCAGCTGGACGCCTTGTATGCACTGCGAGGGCGCGGCCTGCTCACTCCTCGCTCTCTCCCCAGGCGGTGAAGGGCACCATGAAACGCACGTGTAAGTGCCACGGGGTGTCCGGCAGCTGCACCACGCAGACCTGCTGGTTGCAGCTGCCCGAGTTCCGCGAGGTGGGCGCGCACCTGAAGGAGAAGTACCACGCGGCACTCAAGGTGGACCTGCTGCAGGGGGCCGGCAACAGCGCAGCCGGCCGCGGCGCCATCGCGGACACCTTCCGCTCCATCTCCACCCGGGAGCTGGTGCACCTGGAGGACTCCCCGGACTACTGTCTGGAGAACAAAACGCTCGGGCTGCTGGGCACCGAGGGCCGGGAGTGCCTGCGGCGGGGCAGGGCCCTGGGCCGCTGGGAGCGTCGCAGCTGCCGCCGGCTGTGCGGGGACTGTGGGCTGGCGGTGGAGGAGCGGCGCGCCGAGACCGTGTCCAGCTGCAACTGCAAGTTCCACTGGTGCTGCGCAGTCCGCTGCGAGCAGTGCCGCCGGCGGGTCACCAAATACTTCTGCAGCCGCGCGGAGCGGCCGCGGGGGGGCGCTGTGCACAAGCCTGGGAGGAAGCCCTGAGGGTCTTCCCCCTTCTTCGTCCCCACTGGGCCTTGGCTTTTAGGGATCCCAGTATTATAAGAACTTGGGGGATGGGAACCTGGACTCCCAGGGCCAGGGGTCCTTACACGGAGAGGCTCTGCTCTTCAATCTCTGGGCAACTTTCCAGCCAGTTGACTCTCCTGCAGCTGTTCTCATGCCCAGAGGCGTGAGGTCTGGGCACTCACTCTTAGAGGATTTTGAGCTGTTGCTCTTCCTTGAACTAGATGAGATAGGCGTTCCTTCTCCTCTTGCTAGCTGCTTTCACACCAGATGGTTCTATCAGGCCTGAGGAATTACAGATTCTTCATGGGTATGCAGGGCTCTGGTAAAAGCATGGCTTTTCTCTTTCACCCATTTTCTTGCTTGGCACTCATTCACCCTTTTCTGCTGCTGGATCGTTCTTCTGCAGAGCCCGTTAGCTGATGGTTCTAAGCATTGGGTAGACGCCCTAGGAATTTTTAATGCTATCTCTCCCCTTTACCCCCAGAAGAGTCTACTAAGCCAGGCAAAAGTATGTCTTTAGGGGTTGGCTCCTAAAGGCAGGGGTTGAAGATGGAGGAAGTGGGAACCCTAGTGTCTTAAGTTGCCAACATTTAAAGTTCTGATACCCTCTCTAACCCAATCGAACAATGGATTTGACCAGTGAGGCAAACCTCTTCCTAATCACCCAGATACCCCAGAGATGTATCCAAATGTCTAAAAACTCCATAAAAGCTGATTGCCAGTCATTTTTTTTACTCTTTAAATTACAGCTCCCTGCCCGTAACCTATTTCCTCTGTGCAATCAACTTTACTTCTCTTTCCCAAGAGGACCTTGTGTCTGTGAGCCACAGCTGAGCTAAATAAGCCAATAAATAAATCTATGCTTTTAAACGGTCATATGAAAGGAGAAACTGGGACCCTTCCTTTTCACTACTTTAGTTCTCAGATAGGATTCAGGGCATTGAATACCTTCCTCCAGAAAGTAAAACTTCCCGCAGTGAAGCTGTCATTAAAAGGGAAGTTCAGCATCTTGAATATTTATTTATTGCCATCACTGGGATGTACAGCTGCTTTCCCAGGTACTAGGATATCAGGGTGAGGCCTTTCACCCTCTCTTCACGCCTTCCACCATCTTTTCTACAGCTTCATTTTTCTGATGGTCTCAGTAAAAATCTTAACTTGATTGAGGCTGAATCGGCCTCCAACAATTAGTAAATCATCTGCCTAAATCTTCCACTGGTACACGTGCCGAGTAGCCAAGAGTTTGCTGCTGACAGCGCTTGAGTCTTTCACTTCTGTTCTCAGAGACAAGCACGACAGCAGGGACTTGAGAGGGTTGTAGGGGAGAAAAAGCCAGCCCCTGACCGACCCTCTTTCCGCAGCTCCAGGAGCTTCCCAGCAGCTCCCTTCCTCTACTTCAGTCCCAGTTCTGGACACTGGGCAGCTCTGCTGGAGTGGAACTGGTCACACACCAGATCACCCCTCTGCTTCATGCAGAGAAGGGGCAGGCACAGGGGAGGGGTGGCTCTAAGCTGGTAACAAGGGCTGAGGCTCTAAGGGCCAACATGGAAGAGTGGAAGGGCTCTTAGATCCTGAACTGAGACAACAGTCAAGTCAGACTGCAAACTCCAGTCCTGCCTCTCCTCATCTTCTGATCTATGAACACTTAGGACAGTTTCCCTTTCTTCCAGGGAACTCACCTCCCTTCAGAGTCTCCTAGTGCTTCACTCCCAGCTCTATCAGTAAAATGCCCTTTTATGCCTTCCTTCAGCTTTACCCAGGCCTCCTGGATCCAACTTGCCCTTCTTACCTATTCAAGCAGCAGTAAATACTAACCTCGCTGTCCCACTTGGCAGAATGGCTTCTTGATAGCGTACAGGAAGACAGTCTGGCCAAGAGGTGAGAAAATACAACAGTACAGTGTTACGAAGCAAAGCAGGAGGCCTCTCTGGATAAAAGCAGAGGAATTGTTGTGTTCCATTTTTAGAAGGTCAGGCCAGTATTCCAAATATATCATGTTACTAGAAAGTTCTTTAACAGCTTATTGTTTTATGTCTCAAAATGGGTATGACCGATGCCAGATTCATTCGAGTTCCAGAGTAAATGCTACTGAGCTACATTCGATCTATTTTGTATTTTCCCCCTTTTCTATTAGCTATTCATTCAACAAACACCAGAACGGAAACAGTGGTGAAGGACACATGGGCACAGTTCCTATGGTGGTGAAAGCTAGGCTGTAGTTTATACTCAGTAGCTGGCTGGGTGGCTGCATTCATCTTTACAAATGTGCACAACTCCACAGTGGTTTGCTGGGAACACATCCCAGAGGTCGGCTAGTCAAACCTTTTGTTTTACAATTTTAAACCGATGGCAAGAAAAATGGCAAACTTGTCCCATCAACTAGTAGGAACCCAGGTCCCTTTCCACTTCTCATGTGCTCTTTAAGGGCCCATCATTGCAGCCAGAGAACAGAGGCAGAGGGAGGTCCTGAGAAGTGACAAGGACCCTGGTTGAGCTGGGGAAAACACTGTCTCCTTCCTGGCCCTGGCCTGTGAGTTTACACACAGGCAGGACATTCTTTCCTTGAAAAGAATCCCAGCCCTAACTGGCCTCAGCAGCAGGTTAGGGCAAAGACAGAGGCAGGGTCGTCCTCTGCGCTGGTGGTGCTAGTGCTGGTGGGAGGGGAGGGCAGGCCAGGGCACCCGCCTATTGTGGGTCTGGATTGGATGCTTCCACTCATTCATTTCCTTTTAATTAACCCGCATTCCTGGAGGAGAAATATTTATGTTGGCTCCCATAGAGGCAATCCTCAGACTGGAAAGAAGGGGAAGAAAGCCTGCCTTAGCAAAACAATATCTCTAAAGAGCTCAAGAAGAGAAAATGAGGGAACAAAATGCCATTAAAATAGCCTTCTACCCCCACTGGAGTCAATGAAAACTTCATTTCACATGCTAATCCCCCACTCCGCCCCCTTGTCTTCTCACAACACCTTTTCCGAAAGTGTTTGGGAAAAGTCTCCGCAGTCAGTACACAGCTCCCTGCAGCTCACACTTCTCCTTGTGTTAGTTCAGGGCCCCAAGTGGGGCTCTCGCTCCAGCAGCGGCTTTTTTCTCCCCCCCTTTAATTTAAACAAAGACTTCAGAGTTCATCAACCTCCCACTGAAATTCACAGCTGCTGAACAAACTAATCCCCTCTCCGGGCCATTCTTCCCTTCAATGGGTTCTTGGCTTCAAAGACACTTTGGGAAAGGACTTTGCTGGGGCTCACACTGCTTCATCAATAGAAGTTAGTGCAAGTATTATCTGAAGAGCAAGTGGCTTTACAAACAAATACTGCCTAACAATCCCTCCCTCCCAAACATACACATCTAGCCTGCAGACATGATGGGATCTACAACAGGATTAGGGCTGCTACCCCCTGGCTTCACACCCAGCTCCTTTGTGCAGCTGAGCTCTGCCCTGAAGTGGTGTGGGGAAAACCCTGCACGACTGACTGACACATCCACTCACACACACAGTAGAGGGCCCACAAATGCTGCAAGCAGAGAGACTTGTGGCCTAATTCGCTTGAACTCCCTCCTTTCTTCAAGTCTCTTCACTTCCTATCTCTCCCCAAGATTCTCCCCTGAATTCTTAGAGCACAAGGAACAACAGAGGTCGGTAGGAAGATAACGGTAACATAAGACCCAGAAGAGACAACAACCAATAAGATGACTGGAGAACCAAATCATAGCAGCTTTATTGTATCATTAAATACATCGGTACATCAAATGCAGAGTCCAATCATGAACGTGCATCTGGAGAAGGTCATCCTGAGATATATGGGGAGCTAAGGAGGCGATGGGCCCCACCACTTGAGAAGTGGTGCTGGAAGAGTCTTTTGTTAATAGGGCTCCTGTTCTAGCACCAGGTTTATAGTAATAGAACGAATGGTCAGGGCCTTAGGCCAGGGCCCAGTCCTGATAGGCTGTGGTTCCTCTGCTCTTACCTCTTATAGCCTAAGGCAGCTCCCAGGAAAGCGCATCCCTTACACCTACCACCTGACCTAGGCCCCCCCTTAATTCTAGCAGAGGAGCAGTTCCCCAGGAAAAAGTTCTCTCTGCTCAGCTTGACTTCTTGTTATTCCTGTCTTATTTAATGACTTGTTCAGATAAGTCACTTCTACTCCAAGCCCCTGTGGCTATAGAGATATATAGGCTTGAAAATAGGAATTCAGAGAGAGGAAAAGGGTAAAAATTCAGACTCATAACCCACAGAAAAGTAAAAAGAAAAGATTCACAAGATGGGCACCGCAGAGGTAGACTTGGAAATGACACTCCTGCTTGCCCTCTCAGGCGTCAATGCAGCAGGAGCTCTTAGAGGTTGAAAACACTCTGCCCTAGGTAGGTCCAGTGAGAGTGCAGCTTAGAGAAAGGGAAGGACCAGCCGAGGCCTTGCCTCTGGGGAGGGGAGGGGCTTGGGCAGATGTTAGAAGGCCAGGCATGAATGGATCTAAGGCAAGGCAGGCACTTGATTTGGAGCCAGCATAGAGCATCATACAGCTGGCAGCAAAGGAGAGTGTTGGGAAAAGCAAACAGGATCTGTTCCATAAGCCCCTTTTCTTAGGGGAAGATTTAAGTACAGCAGAGCGGTCTGTAGGCAGGAGACGCTGCCCGGCTTAGACCTGCAGCTTCTGAGCGATGGTGAGGATGGCCTTGAGCATAGGCATGAAGCCGGACACCTCACTGAAGCGGCTGTAGCTCACCACCTGGGCGTGCACGGCCAGGGCCTGCTCAAAGCTTCCCACATCCACACAGCGGGCCAGTTCATGGAGCCCAGCCAGCACCTGAGGCGAGAGCTGTGGAGGCATTGATAGTTAAGTCAGGTAGGTAGTCCAGCACTTCCCTGGAGGCACGAAAGGGACAGGAAGGGACCAGGTTATAAAGCCCAGTCCAAGCAAGAAGTGTTTTAGGAAAAACATTCAATGAGTCAGGTCATTGAGACTTAAAGGACTGGGCCCCTTAGATGATGGGCAATGAGAAGGGGAAAACGCAGAGTTAGCACAATAGGTGCACTTACCGTCCCCTCCCGGAGCTTCTCATATAGACACTCTAGACGTGGGGCTGCCTCATCCAACTTCCGTTTTGTCTTCTGCAAGCAAGGAAATGGATTCTGACCTCTCGGGTCCTTAAGTCTAACACTACATAGAACTATAAAGAATCACAGGGTGTTAGAGCCTGAAGAGGGAGCCCTGGTGCCAGAGTCCACAGAGAGCTGCACAGCAGGCCCAGAGGCCACTGAAGGCCACACCTCTCTGTAGGCTGGAATTCAGCAGCTCTCAGGAATAAGATGGGCAATCTTCTCCTTTGTGATTTACAGCCTCTGGAAACCTGCTGGGGGGTCAGCTATGAGCTGGCTCCGACTTGACAAGAAATAGCTTTATCTGATGGTCTGCTAAGAACTGTTGTTGTTGTTGTTATGTGCCGTCGAGTCGTTTGCGACTCATAGCGACCCTATGTACAACAGCCCTAAACCCTGCTCTATCTTGTGCCAATCTCATTGCCTCTGACACACCCATCCTGATTACCCCAGTCACTGAATCAATCCACCTCATAGAGGGTCTTCCCCTCCTGCGCTGTCCCTCTACTCTACCCAGCATGACATCCCTCTCTAAAGACCTGTCTCTCCTTACAACACATCCAAAGTATGTCAGACAAAGCCCCAGAATCCTTGCCTCCAAGGAGCAGCCTGGACAGGCTTAAAGTTATCATCTCCATGTCTCAGAGGAGTAAATAGAAGTCTAAAGAGGGAAGTGATTTCCTCAATCTGGCAGAGCTAATGAATGAATAGCAGGCTTCCTTACACCCTACACTTTTACTTTGCTACCTTCTCAAGAGTCAATTTGGACGCTGTTGGGTCCTGCTTCCAAGAAACAAGACATCAGACTGGACTCCAAACCACTCCCCAATTCTTCATGGGCATCAAGTAAGTATAAGATGTAGATAGATAAGACATGTCCAGAGGCAGCAAGGGGAAGCACATAGACAGGAAACTGGTCTACAGCTGAGGGGGGTCATGGAACAAGTGAGCGTTTGCTGGGGGCATTGTGGGGTAAGCTGAGGCTTACTGAGTCAGTGGCAGACAGGGAGCAGCGCTGTAGGAGTGTGTCAAAGCTGGTCTTCAAAGGTTGATGCTCCAGGGGCAGCTCTTTCCTTTCCAGTTTCTCAGGGGGCAGCTGCTGAAGTTGTTGATGAGAGGGGCAAGGAGGTAAGATGGTCAGGCAGACTGTCCTCGCAGCTTCCTTCAGGACTAATGTCCAGTGACTCAGGAGTCACATTGCTCTCACGCAGAGTTAGGGAGAGGGTCACCCTTCCTTTCTCTATAGTAAAGACACCTGGTGCCTGACCCCCATCTCCTTCAGCTTAGACAGCCTCTGTCTTGAGGAATAAGGCTTATCTACCTACGCTTCCTACTTCCCAACACTGAGAAAGGGAGAAGATATTTCAGGCAAAAGGGGTACACAGTCTGTGTCACCTGCTGGCTGAGCTCTCCTGGAGCCCCGGGGGGAGCATGACCCACACCAGGGACAGGGGGCTGTGAGGCAAGGCTCCTTCGTGGTTCAGGGATAAGGTTCGTAACTGGAGCGGTAATTGGTGCAGGGGGTATAAATGTTTCTGGCAACTAAAAAGAAAGAAAAGAACATATGTCTATGTGGAAGGGAAGTGACAGGAATTTTGAGTGTAAAATAAAATGGATGATGAGGAGAAACTGAGAGGTAGGAAGATCAATGTATATATGATGTATGATGTACGATGCATGATGTATGATGTATGACGTATTGTGGGAGGGAGAGGGAAGGGGGAGAAGAGTAAGTGGGGGGAAAGCACAGGGTAGGTGCCTGAGAATAGGAAGGACTGGGCTGAATTCTGTATGGAAGTAGAATATAGGTCACTGGTTCATGTGTGGGGATGGGGATGGTGGGTGTAGTGATGGGGTTGGAGATGAGGATGGTGGGGATAGTGACGTAGGGGTGGAGGTGCTGATGGTCTGGTGGGCGGGAGGAGGAGGGCGGTGGCAGCGGGTGAGTAGGGGGGATAGGTAAGGGAGATGCACTAACCTTTTTTTTCTGGAGATTTCCCCTGAGATCTGACACATCTTTCCAGGAATTTTGAGACCCTGTATATTAAAGAAAAGAAGAAGAAGGGGAAAAAAGATAGAAATCTTGTTAGGCATGTCAGAAACATTAGAAAGTTGGGGTCTGAAGTCAAAATAATTTCAGTCTGCCTCTAGCCACATTCCCTTCCAATTTACCCCAACCCAAGGAGCCCCAGTTCATCGGCTTGAGAAGAGGGACTCCCATGGTGCTAGTGGGGGAAGGCGGGGGTAATGACCCAGAGAGAGAAACCACTGAAGGCAGGCTGACCTGGGTGAGGCGTCAAGATGCCAGCTCCTGGGAGGGCACTGGAGCCTGGGACACCTGGCCCTCCTGGAGGGTACACCACAGGAAGGTTGGAAGGAGGGGCTCCAGGTTGGGAGCCCATTGGGCTGGGAGCAGGTGGTCTGAAGGGAGGCAGAGGGCGCAGTCGAGGTGTCTCAGGCAGGGCAGCAGAGCCAGGCTGTACGAGGTCTAGGGGTGCCGTAGGGGGAGGGGGGGCAGGAAGTGGCCACATTCCAGAGAGTCCCACAGGGTTAGCGGCTTGAATCCTTTGTCCTCCTAAAAGCTGTGGCTGAGATAGAGCTGAAGGGGAGTAGAAATCGTTTAGGTGCCACTCAACTTCAAACTGAGAGAAACCCAGAGCATTAGAGAGAGGGCCAGGGCAATAATAATAAAGATTCATTCTTGTGTATCGTGATCTGCCATTTACAAAATACCTTAAAACTGTATACCTACTTGACTCTCAAAACAATTCTAGAGGGTTGAAATAATAAACATAATTACTATGACATCCATGAGTACAAACTAGCAATAGTGTAGGGAATTCGGACTTCAATTCCCAAGGTCTTCTCACTCGAATAACATGTTACTTCCAGAGCCCTGTAGGTCATGCCAAATGCTTTCTGAGAATGCTGTATTCTGCCCAGTCAGATCTTTCATCCCGCACTCACTCACCAGGCCTTGCCCCATAGCCCAGGGGTAGAGGCTGAGCTGCCTGAGGCCCAGGTGCTCTTGAGTCAACCAGACTGTGGGCTTTGAAACCCTGGTAAGGGCTGGGATGGGGAGGTATCAAGGGTGGTGGTCTCACTGGTGGTGACTGAGGAGTGAAAATTCTTGGCCTTGGAGCCGAAGTTGAGATCTGAGAAGATAACAAAGGGTCAGCTCTTAGAAAAAGAAAGGGAATTAGGTGAAGATAGAAAAGCAGAGAAAATTAATGACATGAAATGCCTGCTACTTTAATATAGGGTGGGGAAATAAATAAAACTTATAAACATCTAGAAAGATCAAAATGAAAAACAAAACTTTGAGTCAATTCCAACTCACAGTGAGCCCACAGAAGAGGGTTATTGTGTCCTTGAGTTGACCATGACTCATAGTGACCTTATAAACAACGTTCTGAACCCTGCCCTGGCCTGTGCCAACCCCACCATCTCTGACACACCTGACCCCTTGTTCACAGTCACTCTATCAACCATTTCAGCCAGGGCCTTCCTCTTCTTCACTGACCCTCTGCCCTTCCAAGCATATTGTGCTTCTACAAGGACGGGCCCTCCTCACAACATGCCCAAAGTATGTGAGAAAGCTTCCGAATTCTTGCCTTCAAGGAGCAACCTGACTTCACCCTCTCCAGGGCAGATTTGCTTATTCTCTTGGCATTCTATCAGATGTTAATTCTCTTCTCCAGCACCACCACTCCAAGGCATCAGTAGAACTGTTCAATAGAGTTTCCAAGGCTGTAATCTTTATAAGAGGGAACTCTAGGGGCTGAGTGGGAAAGACTTGCACTACCAATGAAAAAGTATGTGGTTTGAATCTGCCAGTTGTTCCACAGGAGAAAGATACAATCTCTTCCCATGCGATTTAGTGCCTCTGAAAACCCACCGGAAGGTCATCTATGGGTCAGCTCCAGCTCCACAATAATCCTTACAGGGACAGACTGGCACCAGTCTCTGACTAATCAACCAGTGGGTTCAAACAATCATCAAACACTTAACCGCTGTGCCACACAGTCTCCACAAAGACACAGGTCATCAACAATCAGCAATAAAACAGGAGATATCACAACAAGTCCAGCAGTCATTAAAAGGACGGCCCAGAGCTAAGAAATTGCACTGCCATCCCAAAGGCACAGGTTCGAATGCACCAGCTGCTCTGTGGGAGGACGAGCAATCTCCTCCTGTGTGATTCACTGCTTCTGAAAACCCACAGGAGGGTCAGCGAGGAGTCGGTTCTGACTCGAAGGCACACAACAACAACAAGCAACTTTATACTCAAAAAGTCAGCAAGCTCCCAAAGCCCACAAACTACTAAAAACCAACCTGAATCAAAGAGATAACTTATGTCCTGTAACCCTTAAATAAATTAAGTTCGTCATTTTAAAAATCACCAGATAAACTCTCACGCACAGATGGCTTCACTTTTTCCATAAAAAGAATACTGATTTTAAACAATCCCTTCCAAAAAAACTCTTCCTAGGATGGTTGTATGTCAACTTGCCAGAGCCTATAGCAGCCAATTGCTTGGTCAAATGGGAGGCGTGGTGACAAAGGAGTTAAACATGATTAAATCAGTTGGCCTTAGGCATCTTACCCTCCTACAAGCGGGAGAGTCTCATCTAATCTGCTCTGGGAGTTCCCCCAGTGCATTCTGCCTCCAGAGTAGATATCTTGCCCAGAACTCCACTCTGATTCCTGTCACCTCATCTGCAGATTCTGGAACGTAAGACTGAAGGAATCTCCAGCTTGTTATCTGACCTACAGAGTTTTAAATTTGCTAATCCTTAAAAAATCAACCCTCACAGTCAATGATCCAACTCCTTAAAAACCAATCAATCAGAATCTACCTCTCTCTCTCTTTCTTTTTCTTTCTTCCTCTGTGTGTGTGTGTTACTGGTTCTGTTCCTCTAGAGAACCCTGATTAAGATACTCCTTATCTTATTTATGAAGTCAGCATTACCCTGATACCAAATTCAGACAAATAGAGCATTTTTCTCTCTTGAATTTAGACACAAATGCCCACACCAAACTTTAACAAAATTCAACGATGTATTTAACATCTTCCCCATTTTGCACATACCCTGAACTGCCTTCCACCCCTGAATAGCTCCTATACACAGTCAATTACTGTTGTGTGTGATCTCTTGGTACCTTGTCATAAGTAAAAAAAAAAAAACAAAAATTAAAAAAAAAAAACCCAAACAAAAAACCAGCAAACAACAAACCCCCAAAAAAAAACCCTGATGGATTTTACTGTGGTCACTTTTTACATGTCTACCAGGCTGCTCCTTGGAGACAAGGATTCTGGGGCTTTGTCTGACATACTTTGGACATGGTTTGTTTGTTTTTGGGGTTTTTTTTCTGGTTGAATTGTCTTTATTAACATGTTTTAAGGAGGGACAGGTCCTTGGAGAGGGACATCATGCTGGGTAGAGTAGAGGGACAGCGCAGGAGGGGAAGACCCTCTATGAGGTGGATTGATTCGGTGACTGGGGTAATCGGGATGGGTGTGTCAGAGACAGTGCGATTGGCACAGGATAGAGCAGGGTTTAGGGCTGTTGTACATAGGGTCGCTATGAGTCGCAAACGACTCGACGGCACATAACAACAACAACAATCTTTCCGGTGGCGGAGTGATAAGGACTTGGACTGCCAACCCAAAGGCACACGGGACGATGCCAGCTGTGGCTCTGCTGGAGAAACATGGGCAATCTTTTTCCACGCAATCTGAAAATCCACTGGAGGCTCAGCTATGAGTCAGTCCTGACTCGATGGTTCACAACAACACAATATTTCCACTGCACTAGAAGCGCCCTATACAGTGTGAACTCTGGTGGCCCAGTTCGTAGGGAGTGGTGCTACAGCCCAAAGGTACTGCTTCTCTGGCAGTTCAAATTCACCAGTGACTCCGCTGCAGAGAGATGGGCAATCTCTTCCCACGTGACTTACAGCCTCAGAAAACCCACTGGAGGGCCAACCAACTGTGAGTCGGTTCTGACTCCACAGCAAGGACTTTGACTTTTTAAACTGTCTTTTTATATCATATTGGTTTGCATGACTGACTCTTTTGGCATGTGTATGAACTACTTCAGGGGTTAGGATTATAGTTTGTGTCCTTTTCTGTTCTAAGAATCTAATGGTGTTCAATGACGTGATTAGAAAAAGAAATTCACCTGTGCGGCTATAAAGTGAGGAATTTTCATCGGCTTTACCACTGATACATCTCCACACTTACAACAAAATCCGGCTGGCAGTAGGCACTAGTAAATACTTGACATTAACAAACAAGCATTACCTTCTGAGAAGGCTGGTATCCTAATCTGCTAGGTGATGTCTCTTTAGAGTGGGGGGTAGCTCCCACAACAACCCGGGGGAAAGGAAAAGGGGGACACTGTTGGCCCAAGATACCGGAGCCCAGGGCGTGGAAAAGCCGATCTCTTAGCTGCTGAACCACCGCCTGCAAAAATTGTAATAAGAATTGTGTTAAGGAAAATTGAAAGAAGCAAAACATCCTCCTATGAGTCTGGCCCCATATAGCAAACTTGAGCTGAGCACTGACACTGTAGCTACCTTGGATGACTCAAAGTCCCCTAAGCCCTGAAAGTGCTTTCTCATGTCCCTTCTGTCTGATCTTCCTAGAATGGGCCGCATCTGCTGGTAAGCTACTTCTCTTTGAAGGTCCAGCTCAACTCGTTTAACCACTAGACGCCTTCTCTGATTCTTCCAGGCAAATTCAGCCCCTTCCTGAAGTTTCAGTGTTTTGGACACGCTTCTGTTTGGACAAGCTACTCATCAGGGACATCTAATCTTCCCCAACAGTACATCTCCTTCTGAGACATTAAATCTCATTTCTCTTGGAAGCTTCAGCACATGGTAGGTGCTCAGCCAGTGTGAGGTGACTGGGTGACTGAATGGTGTGTTCTCTCCTCAGAGCCCAACTTACCTGAGCACAGTCACTGGGCAGATAGCTCATGGCAATGGCCAGGCTGCCCTCGGATGCCAAGAGGCTGGCATACTGCGTGATGCTGTGGGCTACATCAGGGCCTGGGCTCACCCCATTAGGACACAGGAATGGCTCCGAGCCTCTGTTAAGGACCATCACCTTCTCCATCAGATCCTAGAGGGACAAGGATGGGAGTGGTCAGCCCCTTCACACACACCCTGCCTTCTAAGCCCAGGCGGCTTCCCCAGGGGCTTTCCACGATGAGCATGGATGAGCGGCAGAATTGTTTAGCCAGAGCCAGGGAAAGGCAGCAGGCAATGATCGATGAGGCATGCCAGCAAAGGAAGGGCCACACAGCCTCACCAAGTGATTGGGAATCCAGCTAAAATGGGCACCACTGGACCTGGCTGGATTTCAGGTTCTCATTCTCCTGCCTCCTCTATTTGCTCTCTCTGACTGGCATCCACTTCCTAAACAACTTGCTTCCAGAAACTATGAACTTTGAGAAATGTCGATAGTTGTAGAGGGGCTTCGGGCCTTTTGTTCATAGGGTCACTATGAGTCGTGTTCGACTCGAAGGCAACCAACAACAACAACAACATCATCCTTTCTTCTAGTGTATCACCAATTACAGACTCTTACACTGTTGCTTCATGTGTGACTTTTGTCACTCTATAAGCCAGTGTCTCTAACGTCTCTGGTTACCTAATAAGTGCCTGGTACAAGATAGATACACCAGCTAATAGAAAGGTGGTCCAGTTCACAAGTCCTCAAACTCAGACTCATCTTAGGAGCCCCAGTGGCATACTGTGTACTGCTTCAGGCTGCTAACGGAGGGGCTGCTGGTTCAAATGGGCGGTCCCCTCCTACTGAGACTTGAAAACCCTACAGAAGATCCCTATGGTCGGTATTGACTTGATGGGAGTGAGTGAGTAAGAATTATCAAATCTGGAATGCAGGGTGGGGGAACTATGAGGGTTAATATCCAAGTAGTTGCTGCCCAATCTTTTCTGACTATGAAAGAGAGGGAGAGAAAAATGATTATCTAACTGTTGTTGTTGTTATGTACCATCAAGTCCCTTGTGATTCACAGAGACTGTATGTACAATAGCCCTGAAACCTGCTCTATCCTGTGCCAACCTTACTGTCTCTGGCAGACCTACCCTCATTACCCCAGTGATTGAATCAATCCTTCTCATTGAGGTCTTCCTCTCATGCGCTATCCCTCCATCCTCCCAATCATGACGTTCCTCTCCAAGGACTGGTTCCTCCTTGCAACATGCCCAAAGTATGTCAGACGAAACTTCAGAATCCTTGCCTCCAAAGAGCAACCTGATTTTACCCTCTCCAGGACAAACCTGTTTGTTCTCCTGGAAGTCTATAGTATATTCAATATTCCAACACCACAGCTCAAAAGCAACAATTCACTTTCTATCATCCCTAGTCATTGTCCAGCTTTCTGATGCATAGCAAGCAATTGTGAAGACTATGGCCTAGATCAGGCACACCTTAGTCTCCAGATTGAAGTCATTGCTCTTCAGTACTCTAGAGAGGTCCCTGACAGCAGACTTTTCCCAGTGCAATTCATCTTTTGCTTTCCTGGCTGCTGGTACCAAGATTGTTGACTGTGGAGCCAAGCAAACTAAAGCTGTTAACAATCTCAATCTCTTCACCATCTACCTAACCTTTAGAAGTTCTCAAACACTGAGGTCCCCGCTCTCCCAGAAATGCTGGGAGTTGCCTCTGGCATCCCTGCACACCCCCACCACTACCCTCTCCCAAACATCTGGTATGGAGTGACCAGCGCTCGGAGATACCTGCAGCGTCAGAGGGGCTGCGCCCTGGTGGTATTTTGCCCAACACTCCACTAGCCGCTCCACACTCCCCGAGCAGATGTAACAGAGACTGGCTTCAGATGACAGTGCCCTGCCCCCTTCTTGCTCCATGCGAGTTCCCAGCATGTCTGCAGAGAGACGGACACTTTCTTAAAGGCACAGCTTCCTTGTGCTCTTCTCTTCCTGTTTGAAGACAGGCAAAGGGCATGAGAGGTGAGCCAGCAGCTACAGACCCTGCGAGACAACACTGAGGCTAGCCCCACTCTACACTGAAGGGCAAGGTCTTGGCGTTCAGTTGTGACAAGGAAAGATAAAACAGGACAATGAATGACCTCTAGTGAAGGTATGGGCATGCACTGCAATCTCTGCCTCCTTGGCCATGACAATGTGGCTGGTCTCCCAGAGTTCAGGCTTCTACTCTGCCTCCCCCCTTCACCGAGCTCACTGACAAAGGAGCACACATAACTCCATCCAAGACTCTGAGAGACAGTGGGGCCACACCTACCACAGAGCTCAGGGAATTCCTTTGGCCCTGAGTACGTCAGTAATAAGGCCAGTGCCTCCCTCCAGTTCTGCAGGCTACAGGCACATACCATGTCCTTCCAGTTCCTCTGCACAACACAGGCCAGAAGCTGGAATGGACAAAGAGGGAAGGAGGCCATCAGTCATCCATATGCAAAGGCAGCAGAAAGGTGCTAAAAGGAGCAGCTCGTGAGCAAGCTCCCTCTTCTACCCCTGACTAGGGACTGAGGGTGAGCAAGGATGATGTGGTGAGAGTAGGAAGAGTCAGGAGATTCCCAAGAACAGAGTCTCAGGAAGGTCCCAGTAATCCCCTCGCCTACTCTCCTCTCCTTCATGGTGGGCAGTTACCAAGGAAATTCTGGTTTTCTTCTTGGCCAAGTAGCGCTCCTGAGTTTTCTTCAGTAAGTCTGCGCCACCAGCCTGGGCCAGGATGATAGCATCAGCAAAGCGTTCTTCCTTCAGACACAGGTCCACGGCAGGGCCCAGCTCCCCAAGGAGGAGTGCCTGGCTCAGGAGTCCGTCAGCATCTGTACGCAGAGGTAGGCCCTCCCATGAGAACATCTCCTGTCCCCTACAGGGTCCACATCACACCTCCCATTATCTCTAGAGTGCTCAGCTTCTCCTGTCCCAAACACACCCCCTGAGTTTTGTTCTAGGGATACCCAGGTCCAGCTGTAACTCAGTAAGGCCCAGGCCATGTAGCTGTGGCATAGGTATGATGTATATATGCTCAGCAAAGGCAAGGTTGCAGTGTTTTAGAAAATAAGACTAAGAAAAGGATAGAAAAAACAAAACAAAACAAAAGTCTTGATAAAAGTGTCCAGAGGAGGAACTCATCCATGAAAGCCCACAATCAGAGAGAGACCTCTGGCCAGTAGTAGGCCCTCCCAGTATTTGCAAACATGGGACTGAGGCAGGAGATAAGAGAATTATCTTCACATCTAGAAATGCTGGGCACCCCTACTCCCCAGCAGAGGGCTCCTCTTCCCCAGGGCCAGGGTACCTTCTGTGATGGGAATCTCCCATGGAGTCATGTTCTGAGGGACCAGGTCATCAAAGAAAGTTGAGGAAGCAGAGGCTTCTTCAGTGGTATGTTTGGAGGCCTGTTCATAGAAGGACAGAGACAACTATATAGGAATTGAACCCAGAAGTGGGACAGCTGGCTAAATGACTATCTTTGGGAATTCTACTATTTGGTCCTTACGGTAGAGCTAAAAGAGTAATCAAGCAAGGGTTATTCTGGAAAAGGTCAGAGTTCATAGTTTAAGACACAGCTCTAACCCAGTCCAAAGGCTTACAAGCGCTGTCCCTCTGTTTTTAAGGATGGTGCAATACCTTAGGAGGCATGGTGAACATCTTTTTGCTGACTATACTCAAGCACTTTTTCTTTGGCGAATAATTGTTTCTTTTTTGTTTTCTTATTTTATTTTCCTTTCACTCCACCTGACTGTTAATTTTTGCTCCCCTCTCCCGCCCTGCTCGTTCCTGTGTGTCTCACTGTGGTTCCAAGAGAGAGCTGACGGGCTTGAAGACTTCTGCAAAAGCTGAGCGCTTACTGAAAGCCAAGTAAAGGCCTAGGACAGTGAAGGTACCGTAATAAGCAGCCTCCTGTACTAGCCTCAGTCTGGCTGGACTCATCGCACCTGGCTGCAGAAGGCCTGTTGTCTAGCACTGTTGAGGCCATTTCCCTTGGGCTGAGGGCTGCCACTCTGTTCCAAGTCCTTCTTCAACCATGTGTCCACCTGCAGAAACAGACATTCGAGTACCACCTTCTCCAGCATAAAACCAAACCAGTATGTTCTCTCTCTGTCCATATTCCACTAACTGGACTTTGTAAGATCCTTGAGTTATTTTCCTGGGAAAAATCCCAACCCCAGCAGGTCAGTGAGTGAATGTGCATCAACTCAAGGAAGAGCTATTCTGAAACTTTTCTTTGACAAGATTCTCTTACTCTCTGCATCTAATTTCTAACGTGAAGGATAACTTACCTTCTTCTTCAACTCATATTTACTATATCCTAAAAGTTTTAGGAATTTAATCCGGGAGTCTTGTTCTAAGGTCACCTAAGGAGTTACAGAACACAGAAAAGTCTCCATTAGATCAAAGTAAATGACCTACCCCATGTACTAAACTGGGCATATGTACCAGTGTTAGCATCTACCCTCAAATTTAGTCCTTGGTACAACCTTAAGTGCCCTGCTGAAGACAAGTCCATCTCTATTTTCTTCCTCAGATCTATTTTCTCCTGGGCTGTAGATAGAATGTGAAAAACCTTGTCTGCACCTGTATGCTCAAGCCAATCCCTTGAAGGCTAAGAGGGAGTGTAACGTGCTACTTACATAACATTTACACTGTACTGGGTATTATAAGTAATTGACAGATGGTTTAAAGTATACTGGAGGATTTGTGTAGGTTACTTGCAAACAGCACAGCATTTTTATATAAGGAACTTGAGTATCCTCTAATTTTGGTATTAGCAGGAGGTCCTGGAACCAATCCTTTGATACAACTATGTATTAGGCCCTGAACCCTGAGTGCCCACAGTGACATACTTTGGGTTCTTGAAAACAAACTCAGAGCCTGCTCCTGGCACTTACTTACTTGCTTGCTTGCTTTCTTCCTTCCTTCCTTTCTCCTTGTCCTTCCTTCCACCCTACCCGTACTTTACAATGACACTGTGGAAAGACTTCACCTTGGCTCTGACGAACTACAAAGGACATCGACTATTGCAGCAACAAAGGAATCATCCATTGTATTTTTTTCATCCATTGCAGTTTAGTTTTTCAAATATATGTCCAAAGGATGTGTAACATTTAGGGGTGGGAAAAACCCCCACACCTGAATAGCAACTAAAGCTTCTGTAATCTGTATCAAAGGATGGTTTTGTGAGACCTGGATTTGACACAGGTTTGAGCCTCAGACCTGGGGTGTCAGGCTTTTGAGAAATACCTCTGAGCAGCCAGCCTTCAGGGTTCCTACCTTCAAAAACTGCCAGAGCATCTTTTCACTTTGTGGGGAAGTTCGCTGGATCTTGTTCTGACAGTAATTCAGAAGGTCTCCAGATCTCAGGGCTGCCTGCAGCTCAGCTGAGCGCACCAGGAGTTCCGATTCTGTGGTGACTTGACTGATGAAGACTAGGCGGGGGTAAGGCTGTGGTGCCTGATGGGCAGGGCTTCTGGGAAGGCCAAAGGTAACCAGCTTCCCCCCAAACTAGTAAGGAAAAAAAAAAGGAAAAGAAGTGCAAAGGTCACACTTTCCAAAAACTAACACCAAGTGAGGGTCACAGAGCAGGCTATTGACCCCAGGATAGAAAAATCACTAGCAGGAGACCTCCTAAAGGTAGAACAGGGCCACGGATTGAGTACTGAACATGCTCCCTTGCCCAAACCATCTCTGCATTTTAAATGTCCTCACAGGTTATTCATCTTATCTGTCATTCTCATCTTATCACCATTCTCCCAGTCACTTGGGCATCATGACATCTTTATAAACCTACTAGAACCAAGCAATTCTTTGGGCATGTTGCCAGGAGGGTTATTCATTGGAGAAAGACATCACCCTTGGAAAGGTAGAGGAACAGTGAAGGAGAGGAAGATCCTCAACCAGGTGGGTTGACACAGCGACTGCAGCTATGGGCTTGAGTGTGTCAGAGATTGAGAGGTTGGCACAGGATGGGACAGGGTTTAAATCTGTTCATAGGGTCACTATGAGTCTTGCTAATGCACTTAACAACAACCTTTTCTTCTTGTTCACTGTCTCCATGTCCCCCTCTATTTCATTTCCAGGGCTAGAACACCTAGATTACGAAAATCGGCTACTGGCCTCTGGGTTTTTTCACTTCTTCTAATTCAAGCCTTAACTCTGCTATCCTGGCACTACTCACGAGCTTGTAATGGTTTCTCAAAACTCCAGGAAGGAGTTCAGGCTCCACTGCCTCCAGTGCTCAAAATCCTCCAAAGTCAAGGTCTCCAAAACCTGTCTCTCCCAGCTCTCCTCTTGCTCTTTGAAGTGCCCTCGCCACATCCCCAAAGTGCTCAGATTGTTCCCATTTCCATGCCTTGGCCCTCAATCCCCTGCTAGAAGCAGCTTTCTCACCAAGCCCAACACTTTATAAAAAGCACTTAGCACATAACAGGAGCCATCACGCCTTCACTCTAACAGTGTTCAGTCTTGCTCATTAAAAGCACCTTGAGGGCTTTTCCCAGATATTCGTGGCGCAAACATGAACATCTAAAGTCACCAGGCCAAACTTCAGGTAGTCTCCAGAGAGTGGAGCCATCAGTATTTCTAAATGTCCTTCAGATTACTCCAGTCTGAGGCCAGGGCTGACTACCTAGTCACTCATTACATCCCTTCACAAGACCCACCTCCTTAATGACCTTTCCAAGACAGAATTCTTCTTTCAACTCTTACAGCACAAAATCTGCACTACAGATTAGTGCTATGCAAAGGCATCTTAACCTTTTACAGTGCTTTATAGTAAGACTGGCTCAGGACAGGGCAGGGTTCAGAGCTGCTGTACATAGAGTCACTATGGGTCAACTCGAAGGCACATAACAACAACAACAACAGTAGTTTTACAAGTGTTTCAATTCTCATATGCAATGCACAGCAATTCACTAACATACACTGGGCAGATATTACTATCCTCATTTTACAAACACGAGCACCTTGACTCTCAGCAACTGTATAGGATGGGACGGAACTCTCAAAACTGTAAACCACTATGGAAACACACACTACCCCCACCCCCACCTCTCAGAGCAGAATGGCAGGAGGGGTTTGAACTGCTAACCTTTGTGTCAGCAGTCAAGTGCTTAATCACTGTGCAACCAGGGTTCCTGTATTTAGGCCTTGCCTCCCTAATAAAACTGCTGGTTATGAAAACAAGCCTTCTGACATTTAAACATGTTTCTCACTTAAATCTAGTATTTAAAGCATTTTTTTTAGGTCCTTGAGGGCCTTGTTGCTCAAAGTGCAGTCCTCAGACTAGAAACAAGGGCATCATCTGGGAACTTGTTGGAATTTTAAAACCATGGGCCTTACCCAAAGATAGCAGTTTAGATCCACTTATAGGCACCCTGGAAGAAAGGCCTGGAAATCTATGAAAAACCAGTCTTTAAAAATCCTGTGGTGCAGAGCTTCACCCTGGCACTTACAGGACTGGAGTTACACCAAGAGTAAGTGCTGTGGCAGTCAGCCTCATGACTCCTCAGATCCAACAGGCCAGGATGCAAATCATACCCCAGACCCCAACGGACATGCACGGGCACTCAAGTTTAAGCATGGCTTAGGAGAAACAAAAATAAACAAGACACATTCCCTATCCTCAAGCAGTATGCTGCTTAGTAAAATGTCCAAACAGTGTGGGTAGCTTTAGTCCAGTTAGACTGTATCATTATAGGAATAGAATCTGTGCGATCACAGACATGAGGTTAATTTCAACAGGGGTCATCACTAAAGTAGTGGTAGTACTTAAGCAGGGCTGTCAAAGGCAGTAGAAGGACTCTGAGAGGCACAAAGAAGAACTATTGTATAGGGTAGGCAGAGGTGGAGGAGAGTTGAGGGAATTCATGGGACAGAGAGTAGTCATATGTAACTGAAGCACAGAGAAGATATGGTAATAAGATAATAACGCCAACAGGAAATGTAAATAGACTGTGTGCATTTGACCTTGATCCTATAAGAAGAGTACAATGTTCTGAGTAGGGTAAAGACAATGATGAAATCTACATTATTTCCTTTCCCCTGTTTCCTCATTAGCAGTATAGGCAAGAAAGGATTAGAGAAAAATTAAGTGGAGTGTTAAACACGATTAATGTGTCTAAAGGAATAATTTCTTTCACACACAACTGGCAGAGTAAGCAGGGTGTGGGCTGGGTGAAAGGGTAGAGGTGAAGGCATGATGACTCTCTCCTTGAGAAATAAAATAACACCTGATCTTGGGCACAGACAACAGGGTAGGAAAAAAAAATCCCCGTGGCACTTAGTTCCCTTCTGGGCCTGTGATGGACTTCACAGGCACAGACTCATACCCCCATACCAGCACATACACACGCACACACTTACAGCCAATGAAACACCTGCCGGCCTTCTAATCCACTTGGGAGGCTTTTTCAGGGAAGGTGTCAGGGTTGCGTGGGCCCCCTGCTCTGGCACCTGCAACGGCAGAGAGGCTGTCCTTTGCTGAGGGAACAGGAAATCTGAGGGCAAAAGGTCACCTGTATCACCAGCATGAAGCAGAGGACCAGCTGAAATGCCACCTACAAATTCTACTGGGACACCCAGCTGGTCTAGGCAGGTTAGGTATCCATATTCCAGTGGGTGGGGATGGGACAGGAGTTAAGTCTGCAGGGAGCATGGGTCTCCGTGTGGCAATGTGACTTAGTCACCTACTGTGTCCAAGTGGAATGTGATGTAAAAAGGTCTACAGGAAAGAAGGAGGCAAGACAGTTGAAACTCCCAAAACAATGGCCCAAGCACGGAGACTAGTGTCCCTGAAAATATTCCAGGAAGCAGAGTCAAGGTGAAGGCCTTTTTTTGGAGTGGCAGGAAACTGACATCTCCCAGGAAGGCAGGCACGGGAGCAAAAATGTAGCCCTCCCAAATCCAGGGATCTAGCCTCCCCAGTCTTCAACAGCCTCCATCTTTTCACAGTCATACACCCTCCTCTCTCCCTCCAACAGAGAAAGACCCTTCCCTCAGCGGTCTGCAACAAGCCCTTCAAACCTTGTTAGGCTGTCTCGCCTGCTGGACTTCCCGGCTTGCACCCATCACAGAGTACAGACTGATCCAGCCATCAAAGGAGGCCGCAGCAAACACTGGAGGGTTCCGAGGGCACCACTGCACATCGAAGCACCAGCTGCTCTGTGCTGGTAGCTTATACACCACCTGACGTGAAGGAACACAAGCATTGGAGACCACGCCATTGACGGAACCCAAAAGCAGGCAGAAAAGTTAGCCATCTCCTGTCCCCTCCCAACACTCCACAGAAGGGCAAGCCTACCTCGCTGCTCCCCAGGTTCCAGCACAAGAGCTGGTTGTCTTTGGCGCTACTGAGTAATAGTTCAGCATCAGCCTGGCTCCAGGACACTGACAAGATTCCCCTCAAAGAAGAAAAGAAAGAGAAAATAACACTTATTGAATGTCTCCTGTGCGTGGGATGCCTTACATACGCATTTTAGATAAAAATCTCAGCCTTATAAATGGGTGGTCTGGTGACATTTTACAAATGAAAGAAAGCCAGCTGCACAGCCTAAAAGCAGCCCTGGGGAGGACTCGACCCCACGCTGAGCTCCAGCACCCGTGCGCTGTACCAGTCTGCCTCCCAGAAGTCCTTGCCAGATGGCCGCCTCCTTTTTTCCCTGATTGCAGAGTGGGAGTTATGAATCAGTATGAACCAGACAACCCCCATTCCTACGGATTAACCTAGTCGATGGAGGTTTCAGCCTGGGAAGGCAGTGAGGACCTAATTCTCAAACATCTCCTCCGCCCACTGCCTGTGATCCTCCCCCTTTCTGAACCTGTGAATCTTTTGCCCACAGAGCAGCTGGTGGATTCAACCAGTTGACCTTTAGGTTAACAGAGCAACACTTTAACTCTCTGGGCCAACTGAGTTCCTTTCCCTAGAAGGTAAAAAGGCAGAACCCAGCCCTTTGGTTAGAAAGAACAGACTGTGAGGCTGCTTCCTAAGCTGTGGGCCCAACAGCTGTCATTTCAGGACAAGGAGCATTAACAAAACAGGATAGGGAGCTCTGGTGGCTTAGTGGCAAGAAGCTGCACTGCAATCCCAAAGGTACATGGTTTGAATCTTCTTCTGTGCCAGTCGGATCTGATTCAATGGTGCATGACAACAAACAAAATGAGGGGGGAAAAATAGACAGGGGCCAAATTGAAGGAGTCACCTAAGGAAATGAGCATTATCTTCATATCAAGAGTATTTCTCATGACACCTCTCTGAAGGCTGATGGAACTTGAGGACGGGACGCCCTGGAAGTCCGGGAGGATGGCTGGTAGCCATGGCCTACTGTTCTCTCCTCTTCCTCAGGTCAGCATATCCCACAAGCACGACATGGACATTGAAAGGCTACCTGCTGTGGTTCTCCAGCACCGTCAGGGGTGAGGAAGCAAAGCGCAAGTCCCACAGCTGGATCACCGGGAGGCGATCATCCTCTGAGGAAAGCACCAACTGGGTGGCCGTGTCTGGGTGCCAGGCCAGGCCTGAGCAGTGCATCTGTGAACAAAGTAGATCCAAATGGGTGCTGGAACCTAACACCCTAGGTTAGGGGCTGTGATCAGGACCACTCTCAAGAAAGGTAGTGTCTTCTTCTATGTGATTGGGAAGAGCACAGCATTAGGACCTAGTGATGGCCATGATTAAGTACGGGATAGTAGAAGCTTCCAGATAAGCTCTGTTTAGCTTCTCTACACTTTCCCTCTCTGCTCAGGGGCTTAACTGGCACATGCAGCAGCTGCAAGTACAACGCTGGCCCATGAAAGAGTAGTTCCCACTGCCCAGGAAAGGAAGGCCAGAACTCAAGCCTGTGGCCGCTGCTACTCACTCTGTTGCTGTGATCACTGACTTTGATGATAGGTTCATTCTTCCTGAGATCCCACACAACTGCCTTGCCACTGGGATGAGCAGAAGACAGAATATGTTGGACTTGCCGGTTCCAAGAGAGTGCCTTGATGTCTTCAGGGGGCTGCTGAGGCAGGACGGAGGTGGAGAGGATAACTTTTCACCCCCTAGGGACCAACCACCCACAGAAAGCCCAAGAGTGCTATCCAAATGAAGACAGACTCAAGAAGCTAGGATTTACATTTTGCAGGGAGTATCCTTTTCGGGTATTGGGGTAGAGATGGAGGGGATAGAAGGTATATACTTGTGTTTTGCCCCTGACCCACGATGCTTCTGAGAAAATAAAGTTTTTTAAAACAGACCTTTGGTCTAAGGCAAAGAAAGCAAGAGCAGGAGGAAAGCCAGGGAGGGAGGAGCCCAGACATCCAACCTTCCCAGAGAAAGTGAAGGCAAATGGGGAAACCTCCACTTCTTTCAGGCACGAGGTTTTATCAATTGCACGTTCAACTTACCTCGTGATACTGTAAGCATGCATGAAAAGCCAGCAAGCAAAAAGGTGGGCCCAGTTACAGAATGACAAGACACATTTAGAGACAGAACTCACACTCAGACTCCCCAGTACACAGCACAGCTACAGACAGAGCAATGAGGCAAAGCTGACAGCTACAACCACCCAAAAAATGGAAAAATTAACTGGGTGTCCTACTCTCTGCTGAGCCTAGGGCCCCACCTAACCCTGCCTTAGCTATGCAAACCAATTAGCATCCCTATGCCTTTCCGCAGCATCTTTTTACTGCCTTCTGTTACTCATTTTCTTCCCAGAAGAAAACAGTTAATGACCAGGAGTCAACTTTTCTAAAGTCCTCCAATCTTGCTTAACTGGCTAGAGTAGCACGTAGGTCTGTGGAGTTCTACTGCCCCCTAGTGGTAAAGCCTGAAACCTCCCGGGCTCTGCTTGGGTCCAGAACCCAAGACTTATTTAAAGACCCTGAGGGCCTCCTCACCTGTGATTTGGAGCCTGCTGTCATTGGCACACTCAGGTTATTTAAATCCCAAATGAAGATTTCAGAATCACTGGCCCCCGAGGCCAAGAGATTTCCCTGCAAGAAAAATAGACCTTTGGAGACAGCTATGCCATGATAGGTGGAGAAGAGATTGAAGTTGTTAGCAATTAAAGCTTGCTCAACTCCACAATCAACAGTCTTAGCTCCTGCAGTCAGGAAATCAAAAGAGAAATTTCATTGGGAAAATCTGCTGTCAGGGACCCCTCCAGAGTGCTGAAAACAACGATGTCAGGCTAGAGACTAAGGTGCGCCCTAATCCAGGCCATGGTCTTCACCATTACATACAATGCATCAGAGAGCTGGACAATGAATAAGGATGACAGAAGAGGAATCGATGCCTTTGAATTGTGGTGCTGGAGAAGAGTCTTGAACATACAATGGACCATCAAGAAAACAAATAGGTTTGTCCTGAAGACGGTGAAACCAAGTTTCTCCTTGAAGGCTAGAATTTTGCAGCTCTGTCTTACATACTTTGGGCACATGGCCAGGAGAGACCAGTCCTTAAAGAAGGACATCATGCTCGGAAGGGTGGAGTGACAGCGCAGGAGAGGAAGACCTCAGATGAGATGGATTGATACTGTAACTGGGGCGATGGGGGTTGGTATGTAGGAATTAGTGAGACTAGCTCAGGACAAGAGAGGGTTCAGAGCTCCTGGGTCACTATGGGTCGCAGGCGACTCGACAGCACTTAACAACAACAACATGTCAGGAAAAGATGAGAGAAGGAAAAAGGGGCTCAGCTTTGGGACCATCCAAATCCTCCCCTGTAACATCCTGGGAAGGACTCAGGATTACAGACCGTGGTCAGAAATGAATGCTTTCATTCAGACCTGGTACACCATGACGAGGCCATGTCTGACCAACTGAAATGGCATACCTGGAAAGGATTGAAGTCGAGGGCCCTGACAGCCCCTGTGTGCTTCTGTTGCTGGGCAATCACAGGCTCCTTCTCTGAAGACAGCATGTGGGTCACGTTGTAGATAGTAAGCATGCCATTATCACCGCCACCTGCGAGAACCCCGGAGCCTTCCAGAAGCCCATTGCCAAAGGTCCCCCAGACCAGCTTGTGAAACCTACACAGAGAAGGAACTGGCATCAGCATTGACCCAGGTCCACGTCAGGAAGCACAGGGAGGGGGTCTCTCAGCCTCTGCCAACGCGCAGGCATCCCCACCCTAGCTAGGCCCTCGCTAGCTCATCTCCCTGACATGGGAAGCTGTTCTCCATCCTTTCTCTAAAAGAATACTGTACCTCTGCTGCACCACAAGTTTGGAGGCCTCTGCCTCTCAATTATGGGTGGGTGTTTCCTACCCTACTTTTTTTTTAATATATACTGGTTTGCTTACAAAGTTCGTCTACATTCTTTTTCACACTGGATCTTTCCCCTTTTGTTTACCCACCTCCCCCTCCACCCATCAAATTGTGTGATCCTATGATTAAGGCCCACCCCACCACCACTCACCCAGTTAGCATTATCCCAGCTGGAGAAGATGAGCTGGTAATCACAGCACACACCAGCTTGTACTGAGCAAGGTACTCATGGGGTTAATGACGTTTACTTGCTAATCTATGGTAAGCAATTTCACATGGGTCTCATCACACTTTTGATGGGGGGCAGATGGAATCATGCACCTATTTGTAGGAAGGTACAACTGGATCCATTGTATACAATGTTGGATACTGTGACCCCCAAATTAATGGGGGAGTTCTAGAAGTCAGGCCTATGACAAATACTATAAATATATTATTTCACTTAATCCTCACAAGTCAAACAGGCTGGTGATAAAGCAACAAGGTAACACTTACTGTATGCTTGCCTATACCAAACAGGGGCCTATTCAAGGGCTTTACATATATTAACATAATATTCAACAATTACATAAGTACTGTTCTCTCCATTGTCAAGCGAGGAAACGGAAGCACAAATAAGAAGCTAGGCCCACATTGTCTTAGAGCCTGAGCTTTTAAGTACTCTATAATACTTCTTACTCAGAGGAAGATCTGAACCGTTAAGTGTCTTAGATCTACAATTGCCATTTCCTTTTTCCTCTCAAACTGGAAGATAGAAAAGACCCAAGGACTTCCATCTTCAAGTCCCTCCAATGTGCCTGGCCCAGGGAACTGCTACACAGCTACAGGGGAGACAGAGGCATAAGGTTAAATGACCCAGCAGGGAAACTCCCTCCCCACCCTTACAATTCTGAAGCTGTTACCAGCAAGGTTCTGCAGTATCTTACATTTAAAAAAAAGCAGACTGAGAAAAACTGGATGAAATATGTTTACGGCATTGAAGTCTATGGGGGAGAGAATAGTTTAAAAGTATTATATTTTAGGACATTATGTTTATCGTAAGAGTACGGAATGAGGGTTGCAGAGTGGATTATATTTGGGGTTGTGGGTGTGGTTGGGGGGTTTGGGGGGGGATTGTGTACCAATGAGGGAGTTTTTCTTTTGCTTTTCAAGGAGAGGAGCAAACGGGTGGGGGGGAAGAAGGGTGCAACAATGAATGAATGGAATTCCAAAATCTCTGTAGATGTTCACTGAAATGAAAAATAAATAAAAAGAACTCTTGCAAAAAAAACAAACAAACAAAGAATTTATGAAACACTACACAACATGGATGAATCTCAAATTAAGTGAAAAGGAAAAAAAAAGCAAAGCAGTGACTTTGGGCCACTGCAGAAAAGATGGGTTCACCTGAAAAGCCTTTAGGGAAAGCCTGTGAAAGCTTCATGGGTGATCTGTCTCCTACTTCACAGCTGCTAGCCAAGGACATTTCCACATCCCTCCAGAGAAGTCAAATTTCACACCAAATGATGTCACAAGATCCCTGCCTGCAAGCTGCTATCTACCAAGAAGCAATGAAATGTGCCCACACCCGGGGAACAGTCAGCAAAGAAACTGTGTGGGGCCACTGGGTAGGAGACTGTATCTCCAGTGATTAGATCACAAGAAGTGAGAGGGTAAGCACCAGTGCAGGCCAGGCCAGCAGAGCTGACACAAACAATTACTCCAAAGCTCTTGACAGGTAGACTATGTTGTCGAAGGCCACACTGATCTTAAATACATAGAAAAATGTGCTCTCCCCTCTGACTTGTGAGGCTGCCACACCACCCATGAACTAGAGTTTACATGGACAGAAGGCAAGTCAATATTGTAGCCAGAGAAGCAAAGAGGTCACTCAGGAAGCAGAGGAGACTATGGTCAGCGGGTGTGGGTCACATGGGAATAATAGAAGTTGCAGTGACTTCCGGACGGTCAGAGCACATGACATATAGATCAGAATATGGCATCTGGACACCAAAGGATTAGGGAAGATGGCAAAGTAACTTCAGCGTATCTGAAATGCACAGCACAGGTTGTGGCTAAATAATTTCTTTATAGAGAGAGTGCATTTCCATTGTTAACCACTTTACTAGTGAGAGTAAAAGCTGGTACATGAGAGTGAAGGCTGGTACATGAGTGAGTCTTGAACGCGAACACGTGAGTGAGTGGGATGCCAGTGAGAGCTACACAAGGAAGCTGTGTTGATTACCAAATGGTCTCAAAGAATGTCAATCACCTCTGCTCTTTAATTAAACAGAGAGCAAAAAATAGCTTGTGTGCACTTCCTCTCTAGAGTTTACTCTCCTGTTCCTGTTGTATCTCACTCACACACATGCTCTCTCTCTGTTGGTACACAAAGTAGAGAGGGGAGGGGAAAAAACCCAAACAACCTGTTGGATTTAAGTAAAAGGCACATGGGTGTTCATTATACTACTCTGTAGTTTTCCTACAAGTTGAAATTTTTCAAAGTGAAAAAGTTTTTTTAAAAAAACTATTATCTTTAAACCTGGAAACAGGAGCTACTAAAGTAGAGGCTTAAGGAGAAGGCATTGGAAAAAAAGTTTGCACAGGAAGGTGAGGATTTTCAAAATATAAGAACAGAGGTTCTAAAGAGGTTCCCAGGTTCACAAAGACAAGGGGTATCGCAGAATGATGGGGTACACCTAAAGAGAACAGATTCTCTAACTCCTACCCAGACCTATAAAGTAGAATTTCCATAAACAGGCCCTCAAAAATCTGTATTTTTGGGGAGCTCTGGTGGCTTAGTGGCAAGAAGCTGCACTGCAATCCCAGAGGTGCACAGTTCGAATCCACCAGATGCTCTGCTGAGGAAGGAGGGACAATCTCCTCCTGTACCAGTCAGATCTGATTTGACGGTACACACACACACACACACACAAATAATAAAATTAAAAAAAATTTAAAAAAAAATCTGTATTTTTAACAAGAACTCTGAAGGCAATTCTAATGAGCAGCTAGGCTTGAGAACTACAGTGTTAGATACACCAGACCTGTTGACCAGCCTAGTACAAGAATGCTGTCAAGCTATTGAGTGTGTGTGGCAGACCACACATTGGCCTCTGACTCTTGGGTTATAAGAGGCCCAGAGGCTTTGTCCTCAGTCCCAAAATCAATGACATAAACAGTGTATTATTCTCTCCTAAGTCTTCACTCTTGACTCAGATTCACTAACAATGCAAATATGACTTGCTTCAGCACACAGTAATTCAGATTCATTCTGATCAAGTTCAGTGTCATTTACTCATGTACTTGAAGTATATCTATAGCTGTGGCTTTCCCCCACCTACACTGGGTGTTACAACATTTGTTTAAGTCAGGCATTTGTAGATAGACAATATTTTTATGATGTAACATAGACTGAAGGTAAAAGGATCATCAAGATTCAAAAGTAGTTACGTAAGATAATAGATCTGCTGGGAAAGGCAGTCAGAGGAAAGGAGATAATTTTTTAAAATAAAATTTAATTTTAATTGTGATTTTAACTAACATTTAAAGATAAGTTAGATTTCCACTCATTCATTGTTGCACATTTTACCCCTTTGCCCTCTGGAAGGAAGAGAATTTTTAAAGCATATATGAACTTGGTAATGAAGAGGCAAAGATGTAACTGTTGAGACCTCCTCATTCAGAAGAAGAGAAAAAAAGACTCAATGAAACAATTGGTTCAAAGGCCTAATGAATCACACGAACCATACAGTCTCCACTAGCTTGAGGCCAGAAGAATCTGACAAGTGTCCAGCTACCACTGCGTGCTGCTCTGATCTGCACCACAGAAGGCCTTGGACAGGATGGGTGGAAAATGCAGAACAAAATCTTAACAAGGACCAGACTTACTGATCTGACAGAGCCTGAGACTGTGGTCATCACACATCCTTCGCACATTGAACTCACTCTGCCAAAAGACATAAACAACAAAAACAAACACTCCTGAGGAAGGTGTGCCTCAAATAATCAACCATGCAAGAACAAAAAGGGCAGTGCTTGTCCAAAACCGAAGTTCAGAAGGCAGGCAAGACAGATGCATGGAAGGAGGGAATCCAAGGAGGAAGCAGGAAGTGGGGCTGTCACATTGAAGGCACTGCAACTAACGTTATGAAACAAAATGTGAATACTCGGTTGAATGGAAAACTAATTTGCTCTATAAACTTTCCCTCAAACCACAAATGAAAATAAAGATCACTCTCCGGACTATTGGACTATCGTCTTTAGTTACCCTTCAGGTCTTGAACGAAATCATGCCCGTGACTCAACTTTCAAACAATAGAGCCAAACAGTGATCTGCATCACCAGGAAGGAACGCATTCCTTGGAACAATCAATCAACCAAACACAATCAAAAGGGCAGCATTTCCAGAGGATAAAGCTCAGAAGGTGGGAAGGGATTGGAGAGAAAGGTGAAAGGAAAAAGGAAACCCAAGGAGGAAGTGAAAAGAATGTTACTGCAATGTGAAGACTGTAATCAATTTGATACAGTGATTGGGGCAATGGGGGTAGGTGTGTCAGAGTCAAGTGAGACTGGCTCAGAACAGGGCAGCAGGCTTCAGAGCTGTTGTACGTAGTAGGGTTGCTATGAGTCGCAGGTGACTCAACAGCACTTAACAACAACAACATGTCTGTATGAATTGTTGGATGAAACACCTGTTTTCTCAGTAAAGTTTAGCTCGAATCACAAATGACAATAAAAGTTAATAATAAGAGACATAAAGAAGAAAAAGAAAGAGGAGGCTGAACATAAGGACTGAGAGTGGTGGTGGTATGCGTCCTCAAATCGGCACTGATGCACAGCTGACCCTCCAGCAGGTCCTCAGAGGCAGTAAATCAGACAGGAGCAGATGGCCCATCTTTCTCCTGTGGAGCAGCTTAAAGATTCAAATCATGTGCTTTTGGGTTGGTAGCACAGCTCCTACCCATTAGGCCACCAAAGAGCTCTTAAAGGTTTAAGTCTTTTGAAACCACCTGTACCACCTCTTTTTTTTTTCACATAAATGAGAAAATCAAATTAGTCATGTAACTAAAGTTAACCAAAGTCATACAGCTTTATTAGTGTTATAGAAAAGCAATTGTGCTTGCCACTATACCACACAGGAAAAAAAAAGAGGAGGCTGCATAATAACTAACTGCTAATTGCAGCCAATAGTTTGTGAGACTAACCTTTGAGGAAATGATCTAACCTGGGCTAAAAAAAAAAAAAAAGAGAGAGATGGGTGTCTCAGACCCTGGAGCGTCCAAGATGATTGCTTCAGATCAGCCCTACTCGAAGTGCATCAGAGAGAATTTCTTAGGTCTCTGGGAATGAGAATCAATTCTTGAACACAAAGTGTAGAAAGAGAAAGTAGACATGAATTATTATCAATAGTGTCAATTGTATGATTTAGTCTACTTTCAAAGTTCCTGCAGGTTAGAAGTGGGCAAGTGGTTAGGAATAGATCATCTGTACTGGTAAATCCATTAGGGCCTAATGGCCAGGGGACACAGATGCTGGGACCACAAAGCAATATGAGATACTCTCATTAAACAACATATGCTGACCGAGATGGAGGTGGGTATCTTAAAATAAGGGGCTCAATAAAGGGAGAAGAATAGCAACCAATTTTTAAGTTAAACTGTGAAAAAGAAAGAAGAGAGCGCTTCTATCTAAACGTCTTAACTGCTACCTAAAATAGACTGAAAAATGCCTAGGCAGGTCAATGGTCATCAGATGGATAGTTGTAGTCTAGGCCAAGTAATTTCAGAAGTGAGTAGATAAGATAATTCATCAAGATGTAAGAAAAGTATTTATTAAATGGAATAGAAAAACAAATGGTATTATCACAAGATGAGGAGTTGATTCTTTGAACGCTGGCAAGGTTGGGAGTGTTAAATGGTGCAAGCACGATGGAAGATGGTATGGCAACTTTCTTAAAAAGTTGGAAATAGAAATACCATTTGACCCAGCAATTCCACTCCTAGGACTATACCCTTAAAAAACCAGACCTGCCACCCAAACAGATAGAGGCTTTTTATTGCTGTGCAAAGAGACAGACTCAACCCAAGTGCCCATCAAATGAATGAAAAGAAAAACTATGGTATATTCACACAATAGAATACTACACATCGCTGAAAAACAAGGAACTCATAAAAAATTATACAGCATGGATGACCCTGGAGGACATTATGCTAAGTGAAATATCTCAGTCACAGAAAGACAAATACTGCATAATACCACTATTATAAAACAGGACTGACATGAGTGTTGGGGGGAAACTAAGAAAAGAGGAGATAAATAATGAACACTGCATTGGAAGAGATGAAGGAAAGAACTGTTTAAAAGGAGTATATGATTAGGCATTATCTGTATGACAACAGCCCAGAATAAGAAGTGCACAGCAAAGTGGACTAGGGGAGAGGTGGTGGGAGGAGGAAATTATACAACAAGGAATGATTTTTTTTTTTTTAAGTGAACTGGGGTGGATAGGGAGAAAAATGTGCAACAGTGAATGAATGAAAATCCAACTTTTTTGTAAACTTTTGTAAAATCACAATTAAAAAAATAGTTTTTTAAAATATAATTGAGTGGAAAATAAAGGACTGATAAAATTGACAACTCATTGGCAAAGCTAAGAAAGAAAGAAAATACATCAAGAAAAGGATTTCTAGTTATACTTTTTAAAAGACAGAAACTTTATTAAAACAGTCATGTTGTTGTTGTTGTTGATTGCCTTCGAGTCCAGGACGACTCACAGTGACCCTATGAACAAAAGGCCTGAAAGCCCCTCTACAACCATTGACATTTATCAAAGTTCATTGAGTTTCCGGAGGCATGTTGTTTAGGAAGTGGATGCCACTCATGCTTCCAAAAAACAGTCATATATGTGTATCATTCATACTGAATATATAACTTTGATACTATGAATTTCACATTCTCCCTAATGGTATAAAAACTTACGACACTGTTGCTCTAGACAGTAATTCTGTCTTGCCTTCATAAAACCTATTCATGAACAACTGAAGAATAGGAAAAAAGTAAGCTTTGGAGTCAGACAGGCCTAGATTTAAACTGCAACTTCTTAGAGTTGCATTTGTCTCCTGGGGAAAACAGGGCTAGAGGTACTTAACTCATTCTTTGAAGAATGAGTAAGATATCACCCCTCGCACAGTACCTGCCATGCAGATTTGTTCTCAATAAACAACAGTACTGAGTCTTAGAGATCTGGCAAAGCCAGAGAATTAATGAGCATCCAATCAGTGCCTGCCAGCAATGAGGAAAGGGGCATTCGTCCTCCTCACTGGCAGTCAAGGGAAATATTGTGTAAGGTGGTTATCTTCACAAGAGCCAAGGAAGAAAGCCAAATCTCTGGGTTCAAGGAGTGATCAGGTCCACGTGGGTCCAGGCATGTGTGAGGCATTCCTATCACATGTCTGACACAGCAACTGCTGTGGCTGACCAAAAAGAGGTGGGTGGCTATTTTTAAGGACGATTTTACAAAGTTAACCCAGAGTTAACTTTTCTACAACTTGGCAAAGTTCCTTCTTCCCACACTTGTCTTCCTGGAAGCTCTAAAAAAAGCCACACTCCTCCCCTGGCTCCACATCACGATACGCCCTGCTTATCCACCCATCAATAGTTCATACATAATACCTGCTCGAAGCAGAAAGGACTCCCTTGCATTTCAGGTCCAGAGAGGGGTCCTTGAAATCAACCTCAAAGATTTCCAGTGTGCCGTTGGTGCTAAAAGAGGCATCTAGCTGCTGGGCGGATGTTCCTGGGCATAAGAAAAGGCAAGAAACAGCACATAAGCAAGGATGCATGTGTGAGAATTTGAGGTATAAAAGGGTGAAGGTGTGGAGAGGAAGATGATGAACAAGAGAAGACTGGAAGATGTACAATAGCAAGGAGTTGGAAACAACCTAAGTGCCCATCAACAAACGAATGGCTAGAGAAGCTGTGGTATATTCGCACAATGGAATACTATGCTGCATTAAAAAACAAGGAACTCATGCAATATTATTCAAAATGGTTGACTCTGGAGAACATTATGCTGAGTGAAATATCCCAGTCACAAAAGGACAAATATTACATGATGCCACTGTTGTAGAATGGGACTGTCCTTGGGGTTGGGGAGAGACTGAGTAAGATGGGTTCAATAATGTATACTGCACTGAAACAGAGGAGGGAGAGAACCGTTTAAAAGAGAGATGTAACTGGGTATTTCTGTCATCACAGGAGACTAGAGCGAGGGCTGCATGGTGGAGGGGACCTGGGGGAGGGTTTGTAAAACAATGAAAGAATCTTTTCTTTTACTTTTCCATAATTTTTGGACTCATGTACTTATAACTTGTTAGTCAAATTTGTGTCTTCTAGGTTGCAACACCCCCATGATACATCTTCAAGGATATGTACATGTACAGCCAAGCACAATCAATAAGAGTGCATCTGAATTCCAAAATCAATCTCCATAATAGTCTATGTGTTTCCTACTGCCAAAGGGGCCCTTTAGAGTAGTGAGAGAAGATCTTCACCCTGAAACCCACAGCGTCCCTTTTCAGCAGGAAGTAGCTAAGAGAATACGCCATCCCCTTTTCCTTATGACTCAGGGTGAAGTCTCTCTCAGGGAGGAGTGATAGGGAATGGCAAAGGATACACTGACAAAGAAGATTAATCAGAACTGGCTTTGACAAGCACTGTGGCATTTGGACAAGAACAAACTGGGAGGAGGGTAGAGAGAATAATGCAACAATGAATGAGTGGAAGCCCAAAATCTCTGTAAATGTTTATGAAAATTAATAAAATATAATTATAGAAAAAAAAAGAGAAGACTGGAAGATGTACTCTTTCTCGATGGTAACTGAAGAAAGCAAGGGAGCATGAGGTGCCTAGCTTTGGGTCATATTCCAAGGTCACCCCAAAGTGCTCCAAACACTCGATATGCCCTGACTTTTGCTGAAAGCTATCTCTTGTCCGTCTGTGATCCAAAAGCTTCCTCGTGCCTGGTGGGAACACTGGGTACTAAGTTCCACATCACGTAAGGGTCCCCGGTGGATCCTCCCCCACAGTAGCCCTGTACCTGTTGCCAGATACACAGGGTACTGGCTAGCTGGGCTCCATGCTTGCACAGCTGGTCGCTCGAGTTCTTTCAGCTTCATGATCTGTCCTGTATGCGGCAGAAAATGGGCATGGCCCTCAGCTCACTGGAAACAGAAATCAGCAAGCTAAAGGCCACTTTCAGAGAACATCTGTGGATCAGGATCCTGTGTCTTTCCCTCCACCACAGGATGGGGAATTTCAGGGCAACACAGGGTGGCAGATACATGAGAATTTGCAGATCTGTAAGGACAGCCCATTAACAAAAATCGAACACTTTAAACTCAAAAGGATAACCAACCATGCTGGTTGCCACAGGTCCAGTGGGGAGACAATCATTAGGTAACTTATCAGTGATCTCATCAATTCTCTTAGCTTTAAATATGAATTATGTGCTAATGTCTCAAACACTTAAATTGCCCACACAAATCTCCTTCCTGAGCTCCTAGCTCCTAATCAGGTATTTCTACCTGAAATTTTACATAACAAAGAAACGAAAAATGTGGACTGTAGTCAATGAATTCTCTATCCTTCTGCCTTCTTCCACAGATACCTTCTTTACCCTCCAGTTTTCTTCAGCTTGATAAAACCTCTCAATTTCTCAGACTGGAAAGTGACCCTTGCCATCTTTCTCTCCAATTCTTTTCAATCAATGGTTAAGTTATTCTGATTTTATCTCCTAAATGTATATTAATCTACTTTTTGCTCCCTCTCTTGCCATTACTCTATTTGAAGATGTCTTCATCTCTTCCCTGGAAAACTGTAATAGTCTTCTAACCAGTTGTCTCCCCTTTATGCTGCCATCCTCATTCATTCTCTACATAGCAGGAGTAAGCTTTTAAAGTGAGTACTGGGATTTCGGCGTGCTCATATTGAAAATCGTCAATGACTTCTACCACATCCAAAATAAAATGAAAACTCTTTACCCTGCCCTGCCCAAAGGTTCCAGTCTATCATTCTCTTTATCTTGTACTACTTCCCTGCCTTACTCATTTTGCCCTGGTCACTCTGTACTATGTGCTGTCTAGTTGCCTGCAACTCACAGCAACCCTATGTACAACAACTCTGAAGCCTGCCCTATACTGAGCCAGTCTCACTAACTCCAACTCTCTTACCCCCATGACCCCAGGCACTGTGTCAATCCATCTCATCCCACCTCTTCCTCTCCTGCACTGTCCCTCCACCCTTCCAAACATGATGTCCTTCTCCAAGGACTGATCCCTCCTGGCCATATGCCCAAAGTATCTGAGATGTAGCTTCAAAATCTTTGCCTCCAAGGAGGAACTTGGTTTCTCCTGGGTTACCTCCCCACCTTAGAGCCTTTACAAATGCCGCTCCCTAAGGAGCCCTGTTGGTACAATAGTTAAGACTAGCCTGCTAACTAAAAGGTTGGCAGTTTGAGCCCACCTAGCAGCTCTGTAGGAGAAAGACCTAGCTGAGGAAAAAAACCAAAAAAATCAAGATTAAAAGACAGAAAACCCAATAGAAAAGTTTTGTGTTCTCACCTGGGGTTGCTAGAAGCTAAAACCCCACTTGGCAGCACCTCATGGAGTACCCACACCCAATTTTTTTCACTCCTTGCATGGCTGGCACTCTTGTACTAGGCTGGACTTTCCACCCCTTCACAGAGGCCTTTCCAGACCACCCAATAAAAATCAACCTCAGAGTGCATGCTTCAACAGCACATAATAATAAAAACAAACAAAACAAAAAAACCCCACCACCTTAGAGGTCTTTTTGTGCCCAGAAATTTATAACTGTGTATATACTATGGGCTCTATGAGGAGAAATGTGGGGTCAAGATGGGTGGACGAATTATCAACAATCTGCGTTATGCGGATGACACAACCCTGCTTGCTGAAACTGAGGAGGACCTGAAGCGCCTGCTGCAGAGTGTCAAGGGCTGCAGCCTACAATATGGATTGAGGCTCAATGTCAAGAAGACAAAGATTCTCACCACTGGACCAATTGGCAGCATCAGGATGGATGGTGAAGAGATTGAGATTGTACACAGCTTTAGTTTGCTTGGCTCCATAGTCAGCAGTCTTGGCACCAGCAGCCAGGAAATTAAAAGGCGCACTGCCATGGGAAAGTCTGCTGTTAGGGACCTCTCCAAAGTGCTGAAGAGCAGCGGTGTCTCTCTGGAGACTAAGGTGCATCTGATACAGGCCATGGTCTTCGCAATCACCTGTTATGCATCAGAGAGTTGGACAATGACCAAGGAGGATAGAAGGAGAATTGATGCCTTTGAGCTGTGGTGCTGGAGAAGAGTATTGAGAATACCATGGACTGCTAGGAAAACAAACAGATTTGCCCTGGAAAGGGTTAAACTGGGTGGCTCCTTGGAGGCAAGGATTCTGAGGCTCCGTCTAACTTACTTTGGACATGTTGTGAGGAGAGACCGGTCCTTAGAGAGGGACATCATGCTTGGGAGGGTGGAGGGACGGCGCAGGAGAGGAAGGCCCTCTATGAGGTGGATTGATTCAGTGACTGGGATAATTGGGATGGGAGTGTCAGAGACAGTGCGATTGGCACAGGACAGAGTGGAGTTTAGGGCTGTTGTACATAGGGTCGCTATGAGTCGCAGGTGACTCAACGGCACATAACAACAACAACAACATATACTATTATGTTTTTCTTTCTAATATGTAAGTTTCTGGAGAGCTAGCACTGTGTTCAAGGTGAAGCCCAGAGAGATGCGATCTTTGGGTCAGCAGCACAACTCTTCATACTCTAGGCCACCAAAGTTCCCTATGTTATAACTAGCATCTAGAATACAGTAGGAAATTCGGTAGATTCTTGTGGTTGAGTACCGTGGAGTTGGAACTGACTCATAGCTAACCTTCCAGCGGGTTTTCAGAGGTTTTAATTACCCCAAAGGAAACTGCTCACCCTTCTTCCACGGAGCTGCTGGTGACCTCGAGCTGCATGCCTTTGGAGGGCTGCAAAGTGTCTTACCATTAGGCCATCAAAGCTCCCTTTAGTGGCTTAGCGGTAAAGAATTGTGCTACTAACCCAAAGGCACATGGTTCAAAAAACACCAGCTGCTCCATGGGGGAGAAAGATAGGCAATCTCCTTCCCTGCAATTAACTGCTTCTGAAAACTCACTGAAGAGTCAACTATGGGCTCTGTTCCAACTTTATGATACACAACCACAACAACAATAAAATACAGTAGGTAGTCAATGAATGAATGGAGACATCCATTTCCAACCTAATCTGTGTTCAAGATCTAATTACAATAATCTAGCAAAGTGGCAGAAAGGGTATGGGGGTAGGAAACACTACATTCGAGTGGGACCCCCTGTGAACTATTTGAGCAAACCAGAGTTAAGACAATCTCACTAACAAAGATAGGAGTTAGTATTACCCAACCCTCTCACAACATTCTGGGGTTTATTGAGCACAGGCTAGGGCAAGATTCAGAGAAGTTGTTCGCAGGGTTGCTATGAGTTGTAGTGGAGTCAACAGCACATAACTACTTTCCAGGCACACATAAAGTTGTCAGGAAAGAACCTTTACAACTGTGGGAAATGGAAGAAGTGGCTAGGTGCTACAATTACTGTTTTTATAAGATATTGAATGAGGTAATGCATCCTGGAGGTCCGATTTTGCAAGTTTTGGTCTCTCTCAGCTTTTTTTAAAAAATAAACTCAGAGATAAAACTTTATAAGTACATTTCCAGGTTCCTATGCATTACTCATAAGGACCTCTGGTGGCCTAAGTGTAAGAAACTACGCTGCAATCCCGAAGAAACACAGTTCAAATCCATCAGCTGCTCCACAGGAAAAGAATGGGCAATTTCCTCCCCTGCGGTTAACTGCCTCTAAAATCCTACAGTAGAGTCAGGTATAAGTTGTTTCCAACTTGAAAGTACACAGCAGTAACATGCAGTTACTAAAAAAATTGACTTTCTCACATTGATTCTATGTTAACACAAATACTGCATTTTCAAGCACCCTAAACTTAGGAGCCTGTTCAGTGTCCGAAATCTGTTATATTTTCCATGAGGCACACGGGTTCCTCTGGACTCAAGAGATATGATTGTGTGGGACACACCTGTTACCCAGGGCTTGAGAGATCACATGGGACACCTGTGCCTCTCTGGAGTAGGATTGTTATGTGTACCATTGAGTTGGAAAAGATTCACAGCTGCCCCTCCAAAGGGTTTTCATTGGGAGGTGACATTTAAAAGAGAGACATTTAAAAAAAAAACAACAACAAACAACCCTCTAACTGCTGGTTGACCCTTCATTGGGTTTATCACAGACTACAAATTGAATGGGAGGAGATTGCTCATCTTTCTCCCTCAAAAGAGCTAATGGATTCAAATCACCTGCCTCTGGGTGCAACTCCTTACCCATTAGGCCACCAAATGCACCCTACTAAGGGCTGGTAGCTTAGTGATAAGAAATTGTGCTGTCAACCCAATGATTGAACCCATGGTTCAAATCCACCAGCAATTCATTAAGGATGAGCAGTCTCCTCCCATGTGATTTACTGCCAATGAAAACCCTTTGGAGGGGCAGCTGTGAATCTGTTCCAACTCAATGGTACACATAACAACAATCCTACTCCAGAGAGGCACAGGTGTCCCATGTGATCTTCTCTCAAGCCCTGGGTAACAAGTGTGTCCCACACAATCATATCTCTGAGTCCAGAGGAACCCATGTGCCTCATGGAAAATATAACAGATTTCGGAAACGCTTCTTGATTTACCATTAATGAAAAACCAAAAAGAAATTCTAAGTGGAAAATAAAGCGGTCACGAAAGGGTTAATCTCTAAGGCGCTTTCCAGTCTGTGGAAAATTTAGGGCTATTAATTAAGCCAAGATCTCCCCATTGGACCTCTAAGGACGGGTGTAAAGATACATCACAAATGCTGATGTGTAAGCACACTACACTCTTCGGTCACCAGTGCCACCTGCTGGTCACAGCCATTTTCGCATTTGGGGGGAATTATATACATTACATACATATATATATACCCACTGCCAAGGAGTCGAACTGCTTACCTTTTAGTAGGCAGCTGCGCACTTTAATCACTGCACTACAAGTGAGGAAAGAACCTTTTAAAGATAAAAGTGGACGCTGCGATTTGCACTGTACTTACGACTTGCAAAATGTCACTTAATTCTCACTACAGCTCTACAAGGTGACTACTATTATCCCAGTTTTAAAGCAATTGCGTAGGCGGGGTTGTGACGCCCAATCAGCCCCCAAAGCCAATATTTTTAACCATTACACTTAACTCCATAAAGTGATCAAATCCCTGACAGTCTGGGAATTGGGCAAATGGGTCCTTAATTCTATTTAAAAGCACTTGTGCCTCAAAATGCTCTGTCGACGTCAATCAAGGGAGAGGCAACGTGTGGACCTTAGTAGCAGCCCTGGGAACTAGAACCAAGAGCCAAGCAGACGCGTGCAGTCAGGGAGGGCGCCTGTGAACGCCAGCAGTGCAGGCCGTGGGTAGAGGGGTCTGCACGGTTTCTGTCGACCTGCCCTCTCCCTCTAGCGCCACGCCACTGTCAGCACTGACCGTCCTGTCCGCCGGGCCAGGACGCAGACGGGCCACTGCAGGCCCGGTTCAGGTCGGGGTGGGAGCGCGGGAGGCACACTCAAGCAGCGCTCAGTTGCTACTGCCAAGTGGGGGCACCCTAGCACAGCAGGTGGCATGGTGTCAAATGCAAAGCAAAGGCGCATATAGGGGGTCACCAATTAGAGAGCCCCAAGGGTGCGCTGGAGCGGACACCGAGGCAGGGGTCTAGATAAAGAGCAGAGCGAACTCCTCCCAGCACTCTGCAAGCCAAGGGGAGCGCGGGCTTCCCCGCTCTGTGTCTAACTCTCCGCTCAGGACCCCCAGACAGGCAATGACCACCAACCTGTTTGGAGAGCCCAGGTCAGGGGTCAAAGGCGGTGAGCCGGAGCTCGCCCTTTCCAAGGGCTTTAGGGTTCTGCGGGGCGCTTGTGGACGGCGGCTGCAGAGGGTCAAAACCGTTCCACAGCGGCCGGGCCGGGTCCCGCTGCCCACGCGCGCGCGGGATAAGCGAAGACTAGCGCGGAACCGTAGAGAAGAATGTGTCTTCGTAAAACAGCTTTTCATAGAGCTTCCTTCACCTGCCCCGGGACTGCAGTGGGTCAGATCCTGCGCCCAGTAAACTCTGGTCTCTTCTATTTAAACTAGTCTTGGAGGTGGGGCACACTAAAAATACCTAGTTATTAAAGAGTGAGAAGATTCCATCCAAGCCGCAGGAACTCTCGGTGGAATCTTGCTTGAAAACGTTAAAAACAGTTAAGGCCATAAATAAGCCGCAGTGAGTAACCCTGAAGCTCAGGGTTGATGTCCTAAAACTTGGCTGATCTTAAAGGTTATAGGTATGCGGAGGGCGAGAATTACTGAATTTTCTGGAATGCTTCGGGCATACGGGCCAGGTGTTACTTCTTGGAGCTGCGAGAAGACAGATCACGTTCCAGCGAGGCAGAGGGCACCTGATCAGCTAATAAAGGGCCTTGGCCCCCATAAGGGAGAAATATATGGCAACTTGCGTCCATAAACTTTTGTGACAATACGGGGCCGTATCACTCCGTCCTATAGGTTCACTATAAATCAGGACTACATTCTATGGCAGTAGGTTAGGCCTTATGTCTCCCACTGCCTAAGAATCAAAGGCTGCGGTTAGAGGAAAGGGCTGGCTGCAGATTGTAGAATAGCCAGTTTATCTCCGATAACTAGAAGTGACTGAAACACCTAAGTAGGGATGCGCTCATGGCTGTTATTTTGAAGCTTGCACTATGGAAACTCTTAATAGCAGAGCTGGAGGCAGGGGCTTGAATTTAGAGACAAGAGAAATCAGGTTAACAGGTGATGAAAGATTGGAGGAATATAGTTGGCACTGATTGTAGAGAACTGAGCCTCTTGGGACTGATTAAAAGAAGTTCAATTATTATGGCCTTGACCCGGTGAGACTATAAAAATGATGGTGTTAATAGAACTAGAAAATTTGAGGTGGGAAGTGGTGGTTAAGATCATATAGTTCTTGTGTTGAATTGTCCTATAAATAAAAATGTCCTGTAGGGAGCTGGAGTTCTTAGACTCGTTATTTCATTCAAAACACTCATTTAATTCTACTGTATTCTTGTTTGAGATAACTTCCAAAGATGGGGCATCATTTATCTTATGGTGTTAACAGCCCAAGGGGGAAGTTTGAAGTCAGAAGACAATCTAGACTATTATCAGTGCCTGGCCCACACTTCTCATCTTTTAAACACCCAGTAACTATTTCTTGAACTTAGAACCATTAATAGTGGATATTGAGAGGACTGAAAACCACCTTATGAAATGAGGCAGAACCACCACTGATGGAGTGCTCCAAAAGGGAAAAGAAAAAAAAAAATTGAACCAAAGTCCATTTCAAACAGAGCATGGGTTTTGTTGTTTTTTAAAAAAAAAATACATTCTCAACTTATCCCATTTGACATCATCCTTCCTAACTGCTGGCCTCCTGTTAACTACTTGAATTATTTTTGTCAAGTTTATCCCCCAGGCCTACAAGTGTCTGAGATATTTTAGACACACAGTTTAACAAATGATTGTCATATACTCAAGACTTGTGGACTTCAAAGAGAGACACTCAGCACATCTCAGCAAGATGTCTTTCCCTCCCTGGATCATGACTAAAGAATACTAACCTAAATGGACCTACTTCAGCAGGGTATAGGGAATGCAGGATTAGTGCAGATTGTTTTCAGGTCCTCCGATTAGATCTTTAAAGGAATTGGGCAGAGAACAAGGGTCACTTTAAAACAGATCCTGCTAAGTAGATGCTCAATAACAGGATTTTGTTTTAAAGGAGCCCTGGTGGTGGTACAGTGGTTAAATGCTCAGTTGCTAATCAGAGGTTAGCAGTTTGAACCCACTATAAGGAGCTGTGCTGCCAACTCAAAGACAGGCAGTTTGAATCCACCAGCTGCTCCAAGGGAGAAAAATATCATTCTCTTCCCAATAGGATTTAGTCTCTGAAACCCTCTGGAAGGTCAGTTTTGGGGCAGCTTTAACTCAACAGCAATGAGTTTTTGTTTATGGCTACTCCACAGGAGATGTGATAGTCTGCTTCTGTAAAGATGCTCTCACTGCCTTCAAGTCAGAAACCCTGAGGCAGTTCTACTCCATTCTGAGGCAGGGGCAATGGGTTTTTAGTTGGGTCCTTTATAAGGCCATTATTAGAACCTAGATGAATCAAGGCAACGACAACTATGCATGGATTCAGTAGTAACTCGCCGAACTGTGTTTTAGTTCACAAATAATACAGGTAATGTAAACTTATTAAGAAGCTGTGACTCAGAAGTTGCTCCAGAATAAAGAATACGTATAACAGAAATAAAAAGAGAGGCAGTTACAGCCCTAGGCCAGTCCAGAAAGAAACTCTATTTACCCTATACTGTTATTGGAATATGTTAAACTACGTTTTAAGACTATTGCTATTAAGATTCTTACTGGGAAATAAACCTCGTCCCACTGGAGAAGTCAGGAAGACGTCTTCCTTTTACCTTGGCTCGGCTGCACTGCTTTTCCCACCTGCTGCACCACCGAACCCTCAGCCATCTTCAGAGCCCCAGAAAGAGCCACTGATCATTGCCTGTGTTTACCCTTCCCCCACTCTCCTATCTTTTTAATCACAGAACAGGAAAAGAAGGGAGGGATCCCAGGCAGTAGACAGAAAAGAAAAAAGGGATGAGGTTCCTCACAGCAGTAGGTGTTTTGGGGTAAATGAAGCACAGACACCACAGCACTAACTTTTATTAGAGATTTCATTAAGGTTAATCTCTAAGAATCAGAGAGTCCTAGGTAGGGGGCATAAGAGCCCAGGAAGCCTGCTCAGATCTCATAGTGAACCACCGGCTCAGGCTCTTTGTTGGGATCGCCGCCTCGTTCCAGGTACAGATTGTTATAAGGATACTGCTTTGGCCCCTAAGGGAAAAAACACAGGTCAGCAAGAACAGACATGGAAGTCAGTGCATGACTTCACCCCACTCTAAGTTAATCACACATGGTAAACAGGTACGTGCCGTGCCTATGGTCAGACCCAGCTGGGCTAGAATGGCTGGAGCAGCATTCCTTTCCCCACTCAGCCCAAGGCAGAGAAAAAGCCTAAATAGTAAAGAGAAGTGGTGCCTGCACTGTTCGTGACAGAGGGGGAGGGAGAGTCAGAGCTTTCTAAATGACGTGATGCATCCATCCATCCCACTCTCTCTCGGGGTCGAGACAGACTCAATCTCCTTTAAGTCACTCAGCCTCTAATGGTTCTACCACTAAAGTGGCCTAGCAAATGAGGCGTGCAGGAGTAGCGGTGGGGGAAAGCACAGAGGAGACACGGCTGGGACGTGCTTTAGGGGCTGCTGACTTTACCAACAAACAGCTGTCAGAGAACACAGCTCAAGGGGAGGAGAAAGGGTGATGTGCTTACAGAACTGAAAAATGGAAGAGCCACACTGTGCTTCTTGCTCTCCTGAAGTGAAGTTAGTGCTCACACCAGCCCTACGTGCCCTCTCCAGCCTACAGCCCCTGGGGCTTGGTAGGGAAGGTTCGTGTCAGTGCACACAAACACACCAGCTACCATCAGGACATTGATTATCTCTGCAGAGGTAGCACTGGGCAGCCAACTGCAGACACAGCAGCCTCCCTGCTTTCAGTTCCCTTCTCTCCAATTCATTCCAGTGACTACTCCCAGATTAATCTTCCTAAAGACCCACCCTTCATTATGTCATTGTGCTGTTCAAAAACCCACAATAACTCCCTGCTGCCTAAAGGCAAATCAAAGCATTGCTGTATCCCCAACCCCTACTACAGCCTGACCCTGGTACACAGTAGGTGTTCCATAAATATTTACTGAATTCATGAGTTACTGTGTCATCTTGTCCAAATCCCTCCACCATATAATAAAAGCTGCCCAATCTAACTGATCTCACCTCAAAATACTTTTTAACAGTGTTTTCTAGCCCTGAGAGTTTGTTTAAAACATCAATTCCAAAACAACCCATGAAGCTACAGAATTAGGATTTTTCAATTCAACTCAACTGATTGCTATTTAGAATTGCAACTGACTCACAACTGATTCTCCAGTGGGTTTTCAAGGCTGTGAACCACACAGGATACTTCCCATTTCTCTCCTGAGGAAATGCTGGTGGATTCAAACCTTAGCAGTGCAATTCCCTACAGACCACACTGCTACAGCTCCTGAGGATCTCTAGGGAATGTGAATTTTTCACAACTCTCCAGGCAGCCAATGCAGCAGGTTATCTAGGAACTGGCCCTGGTGGCCGAGTGGGCCTGCTCAACTAAAGGTAATGCCTCTCTGGCAGTTCGAATCCACAGGTGACTGATGGGAAGTGTTCTCCAGTGCAATTTACAGCCTCTGAAAACCTGCTGAATGAGGGTCAGCTATGAGGGGGGTTTGAGGTTTGGTTGGCTGGTTGATTGCCTTTTGGTTTATTTTGCTTTTTTCATTTTTAATATATTTATTTTTTTCTCCTTCATTCTGTTCTTACTCAAAATACTCTTCCTTCATTCTCTTTTCTTACTGTTCTCTCCAGCTTCTCCCTCAACCAAGTCATATAGATGGCATCTAATGTAATCCTTCTCCTTAATACAACACCTCATGCTTCTTAGCACAGTCACATACTCCAACATACAAACTGTGACAAATTCTCATATACCTGCTCATGTCATCTAAATTTTGTTCACTAAAAGTAAACTTCCTTAAAAAGCATGTTCTAAGTTTTTTACAATCTCAAAAATATAATAATCTACGCTTATTTATTTCCACTTCTTAAAGGAAGCAAGTGTTCTTCACAACTGCAGCAAAGGATAGAGGTTCAGTTCTAGATTCTTTAATTCTATGGAAACAAATCAATCGCTGACATATAAGTGATGAGGACAGGGCCTGAATGGCTTCCACATTCTCGTCCCTCACCCAGTCCTAAATGGCTTTTTACCCAGACTTATCTAGGATGTAGGGGAGCAGTGTGCTGTGCCAGGCCAATGGGCAGGGCCCCTTATATCTTGCCATTGGCTGGAATCCTCCTCCAGAAACTTCAATCCCTCAGGAAAAGGCTGAGCTAACATGCCTAACGGGGCACTTTCCAGATACTCACCACTGGCTGGTAGGTGGGGTACATCTCCCCAACCCAGAACATGAACACCATGAACGCTATGAAGCCGAGGAGTTGCTTACACATGACATCCCAAGAAACAGGTGTGGGTGAAGTGTCCACACGGTTCCGTATGTACATGTCTAGATTCCAGTGGAGCTAAAGCAAAGTGGAAGATGACTGTCACACACTACTCTTCCTGTAAAAGACAGGCAGCCCAGAACAGCCAGAGCCCGTTGTTAAGTCCAAGGCAATATTCTGAGAGCTGCCTTTGAGATACTGCAGCTCACAGAAACTGGGAGCTTGCCCGAGCTCTGCTCAATAGAGAAACAGCTCAGTCATGGTAATTCACAACCCATAACTTCAGTTAATCCCAGAAGCTCCATTTTACATGCTACACATGGAACCTCAGGTGTCAAATCACTGGACTTTGATTCCTTGGGCAGAAAAGCTTAGTGCTATTTGGACAGAAGGTGCCATGTGAGCTAAAATAAGACTACTCAAGACATTATAAGAAAGAAAAGTTACAGGGAATACATTCTCTCACCGGTTCACCCCAGTTCAACCTCAGGTCCGGGTGGTCCCAGTCATACCATGGATCCCTCTCATGTTGTGAGCGGTCAGGGAGTTTCGGGTAGTCTCCATACCTGAGAGACAACAAGAACTACTGGAAGGGGCTTTAAGTAGCCTCAGAGAGCTCTAGGCCCCTACCTCTGAGTTGAGAAATTAAGTTACAAAGATAAGAGCCTCACCCAAGGACCTGGCTTTCTCAAATGTAGATCTCAAGTTCTCTAACCACAGAAATACAAGCTATAAATAAAAGTTCAAGTCAAACTCTGAGACACTGTCACATATGTAAGCTTTTATTACCTTCTTTCTACAAAAGAAACAAACACAAAGCTATACTACTAGAGCTGAAAGCAAATTTAGCAGTTAAGTTTAAGTTAAGAAGAAAAAGCCTGAAGTTTAGGGACTGAACCCAAAATCACTCACTACTTTGAATTTTTTTTTAAAAGATTACTATTCTAGATTAGAAAGGTATTCTTTCTGTTAGTCTGGGCAAAGGGGGCCAAAGAGAAGAATGACAAATTCAGAACTCAAATGCTGATGGCCTTGTCTGCTGCTGCTAAGAGCAAATGGCCTTGCTTGTCTGGCTAAGCTAGCAGGTGGCTCCTAAATCAGAATACAATGTTCCTCCCTAAAGACTCTGTTTATAAAAATCCTCCCCAGTAAGTTCACAGTGTGACTTCCCATTCTGCCTCTCCAGGATGAGGAACTCACCCGGGAGCTCCCCTTACCCCCTTTAATAAAGCTGCATTAAGCTTTCTCCCATACTCCCTGATTTCTTCTTTAAGACCACTACCCTAACCTAACCCTTTCTATTGCAACTATGTTTCTCCACTACCAAGGAGCTGGCATTCAGCTCTCTAAAGATCTCCTTCAATTTCTTACTAAGCAGAGCTTCCCCCCAACAGATCCATGTTCACCTGAGACAGACCACTGCCAACGCTGAGCTTGTGTACAACGCAACATGAAAAAAAGAAATGGTGACAACAAGGCCTGTGTCACAGAAAATTAGAAAACAGAGTAAGAAGAATAGGAGCTGCTAGAACCAAGATTAAAAGTGATGGTACCACAAGAAATGAAGGCAATGGCAAACACTTCAGGTGATTAACCATGGGGATGTTAGGAAGAGATTGATTTGCGAAAGCAGATGAAAGGAAGCGCACGGCAGCTTATGAGCGATGCTTTCCACAATCCTAAAATGCCATAGGTGCACAGCGGCAAAAATTATTTTCTAAAAGATATTCTTTTAAAATATCTTGGTGGAGGGTCAACAGAGTGGAAGACCCTGGTTAAGATGGATTAACACAGTGATCGAGGCTATGGGGTCAGGCGTGTCAGAGAGGGTGAGGTCGGCTCAGGACAGGGGGCTAGGTTCAGAGCCGTTGATCATAGGATCGCTATGAGTCACAGTCGACTCGAGGCACATAACATCAACAAAAGAGATATAAACACAAATATACAGAGCATGCCCGGTACAAAGAAGGTCCTCCCGACAGAAGTCCAGCTCCATCCTGGTCACGTGCCCGGATGACAGCACCTGAGCCCAGCAGATGCTCCATCTAAATGAAACTCAGTGCTACGGATGGAGCCAAGGAAGGTTCCTGCTATTGGAGGGTCCTCAAGGGAGCCATTAAAACCTCGTCTTTCTCATTTGAGGAAACAGCCTGAGCCAAGGAGAAAATTGAACTCCTTTCAGCTGCAGCTGCTCACCCACCCCGCCCCCGCTTCATTTCGCTGCACCGAGAAAACCATTCACACCGTGGACTCTCCGGCTGGGGTCACGAGAAGGTTCGGGGAAAGGGTCAGAGTCACTGCAACTAACCAGGCGTCCTCCTCCCATCACTACCGGGCCAAGCAGACCCCTTGGACCTCACCCCATGCCCTCATCCGGGTACGGCTCGTAGTCTTCAACTCGCATATTATACTTCTTGGCGGCGGCGGCCCGCTCTTCTGGGGTCTTGGGATAGGGCCCCGGGAGCATATCCTTGGTGATGTGGGAGGCTAGAGCGCGGAAGAAAGCAAGTCAGAAGCAACTCCGCCGCCCTGTCACCATGACGGCTTCAGGGTGCAGTGAATGCGAAGGCTAGAATCCAAGATTTACTGAGACCCTCCACCGCTGACCGGACAGAGCCATAAAAATATCCCACGACAGCCCCCTCCCAGCAGAGCAAACCTCAGGCATCCCCTTCCCACACTGAGGTCTCGAAAGTTCTCGCCAACCTGTCCGTGCACCCAGCGGCACCATGTTCCGGGCTGCCCTCTGCAGCCATCGTACTCCCAGGACCCCCGCCCTGGCCGCCGCCATCTTCACCTTCGTCCCTGACTTACTGCACATGCGCAGAAGCGTCGTTACGGTGGCTGAGCCGGGCCAAACGCGACGCGGAAACCGGGTAGCGAAGAAAAAAAGTCCTCAAGAGGCTCAACAGGGGCCGCGCTTTAAAGAAGTAGGGAAGTCAGTGGGACGTGAGGGACTTGGATAGAGGCTGGAGGGATACTGGAAAGACAGAAAAAAGTTAGGTAGGTTACTGCTTTAATATTTAAGATTATTTTGTCTCTTTTCTTCCTCAACTGGCTTCAGACCCATTGAAGAATAATGGGGACTCAAAACCTGAACCGCCCCAGCGTATAACTTCCCTGTTGTTGTTACACAGTTAACTTGCAACCAGCTCTGTACAACAGCTCTGAACCCTGCTCTCTCTTGAGCCTATTTCATTGTCTCTCGCACAGCTGCCTACATTACCCTAATCATTGAGTCAATCCATCTCACGAGGTTCTTCCTTCCTTGCACTGTCCCTCCACTCTCCAAAGCATGAGGTCCCTCTCCAAGGACTGGTCCTTCCTTGCAACATGCCCAAAGTATGTCAGATGGAGTTTCAAAATCCTTGCCTCCAAGGAGCAGCCTGGGGTAGTATATAAAATGAACCTTCCCCTGTAACTACTTCACTGTATTCCTCCTTCCATCTGCAAATTCTCCTTTCAATCTTGTTCTGATGCATACTGCAATACAAAAATCAGTTTCAGGTTCAGTCCATATTTGCAACTGAATGTCCCCTCAATCACCTCAAATTAACCTATCATGAGAGACAGCTCTCTTTAGATTGACTAAAGACTCAGAATAGCTAAACCTTGCATAGATCTCTAACTGATCACAACAGATAAACTCTAGCTTAATAGAAGTATGAATGGGAACATCATGTTTGCATATGGCTATGTTTTCACTTTGTTTATACAAATGGCATATGCATAATTTACATAGTATAGATAGGCACAAGATCACGGCAATTTTCAGAGTGATCATTGTGTTTGAGGACGGAATCTACTATTACAGATATCCTCAAATATCTATCAAAGCAGTAAAATGTGATATATTCTATTTAGTATGTGGTATTGGAGAAAAATGCTGAATATCCCATAGATTGCCAAAAGAACAAACACGTATGTTGGAGAAAGTGCAACCAGAGTGCACCTTAGAGGCAAGGATGAAGAAATGTTGTCTCACATACTTCGAGTATGTTGTTAGCAGGGACCAGTCCTTGGAAAAAAGATGTAGTGAGAAAAGTGGAGGGCCACAGAAAAAGATGAAGACCCTCATGAGGATGGATTGACCCAGCAGCTAAGTCAATGGGCTTAAATAATTGAGCATATCGGAGATTGTGAGGATGGTGCATGATAGTGGTCAGATATGTCGTTCATAGGGTCGCTCTGAGTCACCATTGAGTTAGTGTTGGAAGGATTACTTCACAGCACATTGCCCTCTTAGAAATGAGCAGCACTAAACGATGTTCTCTGTCATTGCTGTAGAACGGAAACCAGTTCATACATAGCCTTCTGTTGTTGGATTTCAGTGACTGAAAATCGCAAAGAAGATTGCTGATCTTTCTTCTGAGAAGCCACCAGTGAGTCCACACCTCCCAAGAGGCATGGCCTTTTGGTTAACAGTGCAACTTTGTACAGATTGGCCACTAGAAATCTCCATAGATGTCCAGGATAATTGGATGACATCTACTTTCAACCAATTTAAAGTTATCATCAAATTTGAATCAAGAAACAGCTGATCTAACTTATTCATATTTCATAAGATATAATTCACTATGATGGGTAAGACTATGTGTCAACTTGGCTGCATATGATTCTGTGGTTTGACAGTGGTGATGTGGTCCTTCCTTTGCTGAGGTGTGATGTAATGTAATAATTGCCTTGATAGGATTTGCTATGAGTGTTTGTTTCATAGTGCATGTGGCCCGTATCCAGTATATAGGGAAGGCAGGTGAAGCTACCTAGCTTTTTCCTCTCTCAGTCCTGTATCTGGCTTACCACTATGGTTCTTTGGGCCAACAGCCTGACTTACCTTCCCACCTTGGATTACATCAGCCTCTACAGCTACATGCCACAGACCAGGGACTTGCCAGCATTTATGAGTGCAATGATCATTTTCTTTATATAAGTCTCACCTCTGGGCCAATTGACAGCATCATAATAGACAGTGAAGAGAGATTGAGATTTTTAACAGCTTCAGCTTGCTTGATTCCACAATCAATATCTTGGTATCAGCAGCCAGGAAATAATAATATGAATTGCATTGGGAAAATCTGCTCTCGAGGACCTCTCCACAGTACTGAAAAGCAATAATGTCATTCTAGAGACTGAGGTGCTCCTGATCCAGGCCATGGTCTTCTAAATTACTTGCTATGCATCAGAGAGCTGGCCAATGACTAAGGATGATAGACGAAGAATTGATGCCCTTGAGTTGTGGTGCTGGAGAAGAGTATTGAATATACCATGGACTGCTAGGAGAACCAACAGGTTCGTTCTGGAGAGGGTGAAACCAGACTGCTCATTACAGGCAAGGATTCTGAAGTTCCATATGATATACTTTGGGCATATTGCAAGGAGGGACCAGTCCCTGGAGAGGGACATCATGCTTGGAAGGGTAGAGTGACAGCACAAGAGGAAGACCCTGGAGGAGATGGATTGACTCAGTGCCTCAGGTAATGGGAGAAGTGTGTCAGAGACAATGAGGTTGACTTAAGATAGAGCAGGGTTCAGAGCTGTTGTACATAGGGTTGCTATGAGTCCCAAGCGACTCAATGACACATAACAACAAGAAACCAGTCTCTCTCTCTCCCCCCACATCTCCTACTACCCTCCCTCTTTCTCCCTCCGTTTCTATCTATGTAGATAGCTGAATGAGTAGATACAGGGTTTGCTTCTCTAGAGAGCCCAGCTTAAGACATTTGGTACCAGAAGTGGCTCAGGAGAAACAAATTAGTAAAGAATTCTAAACTGATTTTGAAGTGTTACTAGTCTTAGAGACTCTGATGGCTCTAATCACAGTCCATGGGATGGGTTGATAATATTAATACCCAACATACACCAGCAATGGTCCTGTATTAGTGTGAAGTGAGGCTGTGGATGATCATGTATTTGACATTTATCTACGATTTTGTCAGATTGAGAAGTGTAGGGAAGCTGCTTGGCTTGTCCTGTTTATGCTCAAGTAATGCAGTGAAAGAAAGAGACACACTTAGAGATTCTGAATCACACACATCTCAAGCATATAGCAAAATGCCTCACAATTTCCAATCATATCTTGAAAGCAAGCCCATGTCTCATAGTAACACAGTGTTTAAAGAGCAGATAAAACATGAAAGAGGCCAAGTCTGACTCCTACTCACTTCATATAGGGGAACTGGGCCCATCAATAATATCCATAGTACCAAACAAATAGCCACATGGTCAGATCTGCAACCCCTCATGCTCTTGCTCCTATTTCTATGAATCATTGAGTCCAATGTTTGTTGCAAATTGACTCACAGACTTTACTCACAGTTGTAGGATTTATTAGGGAAATAGGTTGGGGGAAGACAAAGTATATCACAGAGTAAAAGTCCAGGTTTAGTGAATAGAAGCCTTAAAACGGATTAACAGCAGGATATAATTCCTCAATTAGTTCAGACAACAGTTAGTCTCAGTCAACAAGTGAAAGTCTAGATTTAGTTCAGCAACACAAATAAACTCTGGTTTTCCCAGTTGTCCAACAAGGTTTGTTTCATAGTAGTCACAAATCAGGTCTTCACTTAGTTATCCAGAAGCAAAATCCTTATCTTTGGTTCCATCTCCAGGGTTCCATCAGGCTACAACTTGCCACAGTCTCTTTACACTCTCTCCACAACCCTTCCACAGTGTGGAAAGTACTCGCTTATATTGGTCCCACAGCTGTTGATAATTTGCAAGACTATGTGTTGAAATGGGTGGTGACCATGCCCCCAGCAGAGGCTAATTCAATGACCAGAAAAATTATTTTTCAAAATTCTAACATCATACATGGCTAATATTCCTGGAAATTGAACTAAAAATCTTATTCTAAGAGGGACAGAGTTACAATGTCAATAAAAACCTCAACCTCAAATGGGGTCTAAAGCTAAAGTGAAGACTTTGATCGAAAAGAAATGGGATTCTGAAATATGAGATGGAGACATATGGGCAGATAATTCAGAAGCTGGGGTCATTGAGCCTCTAAATCCCATTGAACCAGCTCTCCTACCTCCATCTGAGGAAGTTAACCCAGCTGTACTTTATGAGTCTTTGAGATTTTTTTTCCCACTTGTCGCAGAGCCTGGGCTGTTGTCTGAGGCATTATATGAAACAAGATAATTTAGAAAGCAATGCTGACTGTTTCAGGAACTGTTCCCACCATCTATTTTTGCTTCTAGATATATTGTTGTTGTTAGGTGCTGTCTTACCGGTTAAGACTCATAGTGACCCTATGGACAAGTGATTTAAGTCTTGTCTTATCCTGTGCCACCTTTGAAATCTCCACCATGCTCAAGTCTATCATTACAGTCACTAACTATGTCAGTCCATCTTGTTAAAGATCATCCTCTCTAAGGAGCTCTGGTGGCCTAGTGGCAAGAAGCTGCACTGCAATCCCAGAGGTAGGCAGTTTGAATCCACCAGATGCTCTGCTAGAGAAGGAGGGGCAATCTCCTCCTGTACCTGTTAGATCCAATTTGACAGTACACACACTAAAAATAATAAAATAAATTTTTTTAGGGGAGCTCTGGTGGCCTAGTGGCAAGAAGCTGTACTGCAATCCCAAAGGAACACGGTTTGAATCCACCAGATGCTCTGCCGGAGAAGGAGGGACAATTTCCTCCTGTGCCAGTCAGATCTGATTTGACAGTACATGCACAAAAAATAATAAAATTTGAAAAAAAATAATAAAATAAAATAATTTTTTTTAAAAAAATATCATCCTCTCTTTCACTGACCCTCTACTTTTCCTAGCATGATGTCTTTTTCAGAGGAATGGTCCCTCCTGAAAACATGCTCAAAGTATGTGAGGCAAAGTTTAACCATCTTTGCTTCTAAGAAGCATTTGGATTCCACTTCCTCCAAAACAAATTTGTTAGTTCTTTTGGCAGTCCATGGTATATTCAGTACTCTTCACCAACATGACAATTCAAAGGTATCTCTTCTTAAGCCTTCTTTACTTATTATCCAACTTTCACTTGCATATAAACAATTAAAAAATACTATAGCTTGAGTCAGGCACATCTTAAACTGTAGCTAATCTACTTGCTCTTTAGCACTTTAAGGAAATCCCTGACTGTCTATTTCCCCAATGCAACATGTCCCCCACCCACCCCCCACCAACATGTCCTTTGATTGCTTGACTGGTTACATACCAGCATGCCCCAAAGGGTAAAGTACAAATTGTGACTCAGGAAGAGGTAAGCTACAATCCAAAAGAACGGCTTGATTTTTCTAATATGTACAAACAGAAACCTGGAAAATGTGTGTGGGAATGGCTATTAAAGGTGTGGGTTAATGGTGCAAGGAACATAAAATTAGATCAGTCTGAATGTATTGATTGGGGCCTACTAAGCATAGATTCGTCATTCTTCACTCAGTGTCTCAGTGCAAAGGGTTAGGAAATAACCTTAGTTATCTAATGCTGCTATCACAGAGGTGCTACAAGTAGATAACTTTAACAAGCAGAAATTTATTCTCTTACCTTTAGGAAGTAGAAGTCTAAATTCAAGGTACCAGTGCTAGGAGATGCCCCTCTCTGTGTGTCAGTTGTGGAGGAAAGTCCTTGTCTCCTTCAGCATCTGTAGACTCAGCATTCCCTGGAGGCCTCCAGGTGTTTTGAGCTTCCCTGGTATCAAGTCACACAGGGACCCAGGTCAAAAAAGACACATTCAAGTCCCGACGATTACTTCTTGGTGGCACTAAAGATCTCTTCTCTCGGCTCCACTGCCACCCCTTGTATCTCTAGTAAAATAAAGGGTATTGCAGATCTCACTCTGGGGCAACTCCTTTTTCATATCCAATTAGAGCTACACTGGGGTTAAAAAATGTTGAATTCTGCCTTTAAAAAAAAAGCAAACAAAAAACCACCAAACCTCTGTCCAATTTTATTGAAGAAAACGTACATGATTCATTTTTCACCAGAGTCTGTTCTGGCATGCTTATAATAAAGTCAGAATCGCCTGGATCAATGATAGCCAGTGGGCATACTCTGTAGTATTTTCCATATGCTGAGCCCAGTTCGGTATTACTGCCTCTGTAGTGATGGACACCAGTTTTGGCCAACATGACGTAGTACTCACTTTCAGATTTCCTCATGGCTGGGCAGTTGTTGGCTTCTCCTTGCCTGATCATCTTAAGAGTCTGTTTGTACCCCAGCATGTATTTTCCAATTTCCATAACAAGTTGGAGCCTAGAGTTTATCAGCTCTAGAGACTTTTTTGTCTTTTTCACATCTACCATCTTCTCCTCTTACATGCTGGCCGGCCCTCCACCAATAGCTGCCAACAAAAAAAACAAATCAACAATAAACATCTAAAATCCACCTTTAAACCTTGTACAGTTATTTGGTTTATCAAATCATGGGGGGATAATTACATAGCTTCAGCATTTTATCATTATATATGTTTATTTAGGGGGACAGACTGCCATCTAGAAGAATACCTAATAGCTTACTCACTTGGTTTACTAAAGCTTGGATTGTGTGGTGACCTACACGAAATCAAGTTGAGGTACCGGATTTGCCTAGATATTGTGAAAGAAGGTATTCACAGGCTTAGGGAAAGTGGCACATTAGAGCTGATTTATCAAGTTAGGCCCAGAGACTGACACATGAAATGCCTAGCGGATACCTTTACCACAATTTGTGAAAGAAACTCCAGAATTCTTGAAGTCTGTGATTCCCTTTTTATGTAAGCTTCACTTACCAGTAGGAACTGCCTTGACTGAATCGAACCACTTAACTTTAATGGGGCTCGTTGAATCCTGTGTTGGTAGGGGCCTAGTTATTAGGTCCATCGAGTCGATTACAACTCATAGCAACTCTATAAACAACAGAACTAAACCCTGTCCTATCCTCTTCCATCCTCACAATCTCTGACCCACTCAAACCCACTGCCGTAGTCACTGTGTCAATCCATCTGACTGAGAGTCTTTCTTTCTTTTACTGACCCTCCGCCTTTCCAAGCATGATGGCCCTCACCAAGGAATAGTCTTTCCTAGTAACATACCCAAAGTACATGAGACGAAGCTTTGTTTTCCTTGCCTCCAAGGAGCACGCTGGCTGCACTCTATCCAAGACATATCTGTTTTTCTTTTGATAGTCAATAGGATATTCAGTACTATTCTCCAAAACTACAGTTCAGAGGCACCAATTCTTCTGTCATCCTTATTAATTGTCTAGCTCTCAGATGCATAGCAGGTGCTTTAAAAAACCATGGCCTGAATCAGTTGCACCTTAGTCCTCAAACTTACATCAATGCAATTCTCTTGTTACCATCAGTCAGGAAATCAGGAGAAGTATTTTACTGAGAAAGTCTGCAGTCAGTGATACAGTGAGCACTGTTGCTGGAGGGCTGTGACACTCATAGGGCAGAAGGAGTCCTTCTAGTCACCTTCTTTATAGACTCCTCTAGCTGTCCTGGAGCGAAACACAGGGCACCACCATGGAGGAAATGCACCCAATGGGGGTCCGACCATGTTGACAGTCTAGTATATTTTTTTCATTCCTTGTCCCCCTCTCCCGTTTCTTCCTTTTGCACCCCACAATTCCTTCTGGTGGTGGGGGGGGGTCTGACAGGTCAGGCGACATGCCAGTAGAGCTGAATGTGAGGTCAGCAGGAGAGACTGCCTGCTAACTGGCGACTGGACACTTACCCATTTACCTTATTTGTCTTCATATTTACCTCTTCTGGTTTTTTTTTAATGCATTAAGCATTCCTTACACAAGGGGGGGACCCCTTACAATTCAATGGGTTGCTTTCAGCCACTTATTCAATAAAATGTATTCAATAAAAATTAATTTCATAACATGAGAAATTGCTATGAATCAAAGCATAAATACACAAACACAATATGTAGTCCAAACAGATGTACAGCATTCAGATATGAAGCAAAAGGAAGTGTTCATTCACACACACAGTAGCTTGAGATTTGTTGGATCTGATTGTTTCCATATGGAGGTTTCTAACCATGGGGAAAGGGAATGATTTTGGTTTTCAAAACTACAGTGTTAGTGTTAGAATACTGCAACATCTAGGCATCAGTGCATGACCATGAGAAGGAAAGACTTCATCAAGTGTCTATTTTTAAAAAAGTTTTGGCGAGCTCTGGTGGCGTAGTGGCAAGAAGCTGCACTGCAATCCCGGAGGTGTGCGGTTCAAATCCACCAGTTGCTCTGCTGAAGAAAGAGGAACAATCTCCTCCTGTACCAGTCAGATCTGATTTGACGGTACACACACAAATAATAATTTAAAAAAAAGTTTCTGTGCATCAAGGCAGTTGTAAAAGATTTATTTCCCAGAATCAAACCCACCTTAAGACCAGGTTCTAACAATCTAAAAATATTGACTAGTACAGAAAGTGTTTCAAATGTGACTATTCTGATTCATAAAGATTTTTTTAAAAATATTTACATCAAAAGAGTATAAAAATTTGTGGATATAATGAAGATTAGCTTCCATTCACCACTTCCCAAATTCTTGATTTACATTATATTTGGCTCCTTCACAGTTTGCCTTCTTCCTTTGTAAATTTTTATTTATTTGACCTTCAGACAGATGAATTTTTAAGTCGTAAAGAGTATTTAACATATGCAGAAATGAAAAAGCAGTATTTTAAAATTCATTTAGGTCAATGCACTTCCTACTCTTTGGAATCAGTTTGGCTCACTGAATCTGGTGTTTTGTTGACTGGGAATAGGTGATGTGAAATGCCTTCTTGTTGTTGTTGTTAAGTGCCATCGAGTCACAGGCGACTCATAGTGACCCTATGAAGGAAAGTCCTCAACGCTTGTGTGTCTTTCATCCTGTCTCCAGGTTTCCAGAGGCAAGCTATTACTGAAGTGGATGCCCCTTCTGCTTCCAAGCTTGTTTTAATCGGGGAGCTCTGCCCCACACTGTCCGTTTTGGGGAACCAACCATTAATGCATTTGACACACCAGTGGTCACAGTGTTCAGCCTTACAGCAACCACAAGTTACCACAAGTGGACACACCAGGGCTCTACGACCTAGAGGAATGTTTGAACAAAAACAATGAAAGACAGGCCTGAGGGCCACAGATTAAAAGGCACCCACCTTTGGCTTGGTAGCATCGCTTTCTGTCCACTGGGCAAACTGATCTCTCTCCATGTTGATGTTATTGTTGTTAAGTGCCATCGAATCACAGGTGACTCATAGCGACCCTATGAAGGAGAGTCCTCAATGCTTGTGTGTCTTTCATCTTCTCTCCAGGTTCATAGGTTGAAATGCCTACCATGACTTTATAAATGTATAAGCAAAATTTACTCATTATGTTTTGATTTAGGGTACATTCCAATCCATCATTCCCTGACACAGTTCAACTACATAAAAAGTCAAATGCAATGTCTAACCCCAAGTGTCAAAGAAGAGTTCAGTTCCAAGAAAACTGATAGCATAACAATGGAAAACTTTCTCTAGAGCTTAACAGCATTAAATTAGTAATGCTAAGACAACACATGGAGGATTTATAGAAAGATCTGAAGGTTCTTTCTTTTTTTTTTTTTTTGAAGGTTCTTTCTAATGTACATATAAATAGAACCATGGAAGCTTTTTATATTACCTAATCATTTTATGGCCTTATATAGATTTAATGAACAAAATTAAATGTGAATCACGATTCCACACCCAATCTTTTATTTCTAGATAAGACTATTCTTTATTTTTTTAAGTAGTTGTAAGTGTCCAGATTTCCTAGGCCTCGTTTAAGGAAATCATCTCTTGACTTGTGGACGTTGTTGCTCTTCATCTGGTACAGAAATTCCACCACATATGATCCTGGCATTCATCATCTTGTCGAGTTCTTCACGTGTTCTTCAAATGAGCCAATCAGAGACTCTCAACATGTTCTGGGTCAATAAAATAAGGTGTGGAATCAGTAGATTCAGTGGAGATCTGGTTTTTCTCGTCACACTGGATTTCTAGGCGCCATTCAATTGAGTTGAGAAGATGGGGAAGTGGAGGCGTTTCTTGACCTGAGTCTCTTAACAGCAGAGATGTAGAAGGGAGAGCGAGACCACAAGGAGACTGGCTGTGTACTGCAGGGGACCTCCACTTCCCTGGGTCGTGGTGGTGGGTGACTGTGTGGCAACCGAGGTATACTCGAGGAATGACTCGATTGTGGCATGGCAGTTGTATTATTTGAATAAATCTGCGTAGGGAGGAGCAGCGCGAGGAGCAGCAGCCCCAGTCCAAGCCTGGTCACCATCGCTCTGCCAGTGTCCACTCTGTCCGTGCGCACCACGCATGTCTCTGGGTGTTGGGAGCGCAGAGAATCGCAGCTAGGGGCGGGGGCAGCAAGGTGGTGAATCTTTCCATTTACCTCTTAAAGGTTTCACACTCCCTTGGACTCTGGCACAGCCAGTGCCATCCTTTCACTTCAGTGAAGCAGCATGCTAACACCTCCACCACTTGATCACATGTTTATAAGCACAAGATGAGAGTTCTTGTGCTAACAGTTTGTGCTAATCTAGTTTCTCTCTTGAACTTTCCTCTTTGTAGTCTCTGTGGCCCAGACTGTCCCGTGATCTCTGCTTCATCAGCTTCACAACCCCTAGTCTTTGCAGAAGATCTAACAAACCTTGGGGTCTTTGGGGGTCATCCTTGTACTAATACACTGGTTCCCATTTTTCTAGCAACTGTACTAGAAGACCAAACATGGATGCTAAATGCCATCCCAGAATTATCCCCATGGATTGTTGGTGTTCCCTATATTGTTTTCAGCTGTGGTTCCCTTTGGGGGTCTTTTTGGTCTCCTGGGTGGCTTGCCAGTTGTTTAAATTAAATCCCAGGAGAGAAAGTCCTTCAGTGTAAGTGTTCAGGAAGAGACTGAAAAACTGACCCAGAATGCAGTTGAAAGATACTGATTATTCCAGAAGAAAGTTACTGCCATGAGAAGCAGTCTCACATCCAGAAGCAGTGATCTGGACAGGAATGAATTCTATATCTCTCTTGAAAAAAGAGAGAGAGATTATAAATAGGGACATTATGTGTGTATAGTTTCAGGCTGTGCTCACATTGTACAGATAAGTAACAAACAAAGCCCAGGAACGAAGAAGGGAGTGGAGTCACAAGATGCTAACAAAGTCAGTACGAACAGCTTAAGGAGGACAAGAAATGTATTCAGGCTAGTTAATGAAAAACAGAGATACAATCTTAGCTTAGCTGAGAGTCAGCAATTCCATGGAGTGTTTGTAATTCTCCATACACTAGTATACTTCAAGAGATATGCAACAGAGACAGTATTAAATGAGATTTTTAAAAAACAGAGTTCTTTGACATGGACCAAAGTTTAGTAGCGTAATTTGAAATTTTTAGGAGTTTTTGTATTAAAAATCTTTAAAATGAGGAATTGAGTTTCTTGCCATTAAAGTAACAAAATTTTCTTTAATGGCTGGTTCATTCTTTGTAATCAGCCCCAAATCTCGGAATTAAATGACTTTTTTAAAAAGATACATTGTTTTTGTAAAAAGAGGCTAAAGTTAACCCTAACCTTTGTTGTTGTTATGTGCCATTGAGTTGCCTGTGACTCATAGAAACCCTATGTACAAATAATAGCTCTGAACCCTGCCCTATCCTGAGCCAATCTCACTGACTCCAGCACACCTACCCACATTACCCCAGTTACTGAGTCACTCTGTCTCATCTGGGATTTTCCTCTCTTGCACTGTTCCTCCACCCTTCCAAGCATGATTCCTTCTCCAAGGACAGGTCCCTCCGGGCCATGTGCCCAAAGTATGTGAGCCAGACCTTCAGAATCCTTGCCTCCAAGGAGAAATTTGGTTCACCTTCTCCAAGACAGACTTGTTTGTACTCTTGGCAGCCCATAGTATGTTCTACACTCTTCTCCAGCACCTCACCTCAGAAGCATCAATTCTTATTCTGTCATCTGTAATCATTCTCCAGCTCTCTGATACTATAGCAAGTAATTGCAAAGACTATGGCCTAGCCGCGCCTTGATCCTTAGACTAACACCTTTACTCATTAGCACTTTGGAGTGATCCCCGACAGCTGACTTACCCAATGCAATTAGTTTTTTACTTTCCTGACTGCCGGTGCCAAGAGTATCGATTGTGGAGCTGAGCTAGCTGAAACTATTAACAACCTCAATCTCTCCTTCATCTATCATGGTACTGCCAGTTGGCCCAGTGGTGAGAATCTTTGTCTGCTTGGTGTTGATCTTCAATCCATATTGAAGACTGCAGTCCTTGACATTCTGCAGCAAAACTATAGGTCCGCCTTAGTTTTGGCAAGCAAGATTGTGTCATCTTCATCTCACAGATTGTTGATGAGTCTTCCTTCAATCCTGATGCCTCATTTTCCTCCTAAAGCCCAGCCTTCTGAATGATCTACCCACATGCAGGTTGAAAAGATATGAAGCCAGGATGTATCCCTGACACACTCTTTTCCAGATTTTGAACAATGCAGTGTTTCCTTGCTCTGTTCTGAGGACTGCTTTCTGGTCCAAGTATAATGAGCACAATCAAGTGTTCTGGAATTCCATTCTTCTCAAAGATAGTCACATTTTTGTCTCCCTGAGTGATAAAATCCTGATATTTGAAACTTCATGGAAATAGATTCCCCCTTCCCT